AATTTCAATTCCCGATGGAGGCACACATGCAGGAAGGATCACATGATGCATTGGTTCCTTATCCTTTTACTGTGGCTCTATGAAGCCTCATTTTGTGTGGGCTTCAAAAGGTTGTCTTGCAGGTTAAACATCAATAGAGGAAGAAGGAAAGAAGCATGTGATGCGCACCGTATGAATAGAAGAGAAGGGAGAAAGGAAAGAGCTGTGGCTTGCTTGTTTACATCAGGAACACAAGGAATTGGATGTTTGCATTCATGACTCACTTCAAGTATATGCTTTTTGTTCTCCCTTCCTGTCTTCTGCTCTCGGATGCCATTTGATATGGCAAAAAATGGCGGACCCCACTCCTGGCAACGTCCCCCGCACGTGGACAGGCGCGGCGCCCCAGGAAGAGCAATGAGGGTGACAGTCTGCGTCCGGACGTCAGTCTCGCTGAGCTCACAGCCCCCTCAGTTGACCCAGCACAATAGGACGAGACAGAAGTAGGTAGCGGTTGAAGCTCGCCCATACCCTACGATTCCCCGGTCCCCTACGCAACATCCTCGGCGACGTCGGACGCTATCAGAGATACGGCCCCGACTGACGGGATGGCGCGCCCGGTAATGCCGAGTCCCCCTATAAACACCCCCGAACGAGCCGAGACGACTCCCCGGGTCACGGCTAAGAAAAAGGTGTTTACCCTAACACCATTCACCATGCTGAAAGCATCGTCACTATACATCGGGGGAAGGCTGCGAGTCTGTCTCACCAAAAAGCTCCTCACCTAATGATTCCATGCATGATTACAGCTTTCTTTCTACACATTGGCAGACTACGTGCAACGATTCATGAAGAATTAGCAAACTCCATTAATTCTCATATATGAGTCGTGCATAGATGCAGAGTTTTTTGTCCAAGAATTCATGTATCCAACTTACGACTATGCATCTTCAAATCTCAGTGTAATGAAATCGTTGATAATGAATGGGACGAGGTTGATTCCGAGGGAGAAGATAAAATTGTTGCTAGTTCTGAAAGAAATAGAACAATCAAAAGATCTTTATCCAAACACCTGCAATCAGAAGTCAACTATGTGCCATGGAATCCCATTATATCCAATCATGCCAAAAGAACAATATCCCATGCCTATTCCACCCCAATTCAAGATTCAATATCAAAAGAAGGGATTCAAATCTCTTGGTATGACCTTCTAGTTTTCGCTGTGGCGTTGGCATGGATTATAAGTGATTAGGGTGTTCTGCTGCATATGAGCATAACCATCTCGTGCATTGTGCTATTTGATGTCCTTTAGGACAAAAGAACTTAGACTTCACCACAAATGAACGCTTTGATGTGATTATTAATTATATGATCAAAGCCAAGCCAAAGATTTTTCTCCCTATAATAAATTAACGCTTTGATGTGATTATTAATTATATGATCATATCATAGATATTTAGATTACATGATTCTATCGCAAAAATATATTATAGATATGATTGAATTTTGATTGTGGTTATTGGTTAATAAATTTTTTTAATTATGATAGTATTCCTTAGGAGATGACGACGGACACTTGTTTATAAAATGATAGACCTTCTAGAAATGAAACAATTATTTATTGAGAGGTTGATCTTTTTATCTCCCCTTTGTCCTTAATCATCACTTTAACCATTACTCGTAGTAGTCCTATGAATGATAAAAAGAGAGGAGATGACGATTCTAGTTCTTCTTGCAAATCGATATCGCTATAGTTTTCGGATTTGATGAGGATATACTTGTAGATTAGATAAAGACTTCTGAATAGCATCGAAAGGTACATATCATATATTTGATCTATTATTATTTGATTTTTATTTTTGACATTAAAAATTTACACATAACAATAGTATAAACCATGATTTTTATACTTAAAAGATAACCAAGGAGCTTAGGATGTTTTAAAAGGATCTGAAAAGTAATATAAAAATAAATCATGAATGAAATTAAATTTGCTAGTGAAAATTTAAAATAAATTGATAAGATCCAATTGTTGGGCTAATTATAGATTATTCTTTATACTTCGATCACATTAGCATCGCGATCCTTGTATTTAAAAAATTTACATTATAATCTCTATAATTTTAAAAATAAAATAAATAATCTAATTTGCCATAATATCATCAACTGTATTAACGAAAAACATAGCACGTGACACCATGAAAGTGATGGGTAAAATGATAGTTTTAATATCTCTTATATTTTCAGTTATTTTACTAGTAAAAAGATAATTTCAACATCCCACGTGTTAGAAATGGAAGAGATATTAAAATTATTTTTTTGCCCATCATTTCCAGATCCAACACGTGGTGTCACATGTTATGTTTTTTTTAATCAATATAGCTGATGACATTAGGAATATATGAAGATATTTGTTTTACTTTCAGAAATATAAGGATCATAATATATATATTTTTTAATACAAAGATTGCGATACTAATAGGATCTAAGAATAAAGGGATAATATGTAATTAGCCCCAATTTGTTCCATAAGGTATATAGATGACAAAGAAAAGGCACAAACTATAACCCACCAAAGCTTGAAATTAGTTTGATTGATACAATGTCATTCATTAAATTTACACCTTAAAAACTCCTTTCCGTAGGTACTACCTATCGTTATGAATCTTGATAATTTAAGGTTATAAATGGTTTTCGATTGGCCATATAAGCTAGGTCGTTCATATCAATTATAACATATTTAAAAAGATAAAAATATTTTTTAAAAAATATTTATCCATAAAATTATGTGATACCTAGATGAATAAGCATTGATGCATAAGGATTAAAATGTCTAGTGAATAAAATAATAATAATAAATATCCATACTATATCACATTTTTTTTAAATTTTTTTAATCAATTCTATCTTAAATATGATATTATTTTATTTATGTATTTATATTAAATTTGTATAACACAAATATCTTTAAGTGTATATTAATCTTCATATCACATTTTCTTTATTGGACTACTGGTCTCTATCTAAAACATAATGTGTCATTTACATTATCTAGATTCATTTATTATTATTATTTTTCCCCTCTACTGCAAAACCCATGATAACCTTTTTTTTCTATTGCACATTATTAGTTCATCGCCATGTCTGCTGTGTTGATTGTTATTTGAAGAAAAACTATTAAATATATTTGTCTTGTTATTTATATTATAATAAATATATGTATTTGCTGAAAGTTTATTATTATAGATTTGATCATCCCAAACATGAACACAAGTACTTTTATACATGTGTGGATCGGATATGTGGCATGCATATAAATTCATGGCAGAACATGGCTATGGAATCTTGTGTTGTTTTGTATTAATATCTACAACGAAAGGTACAATAAATAGCCTATTATTATTATTGCTTATTTATATTCTCGATCATTGAGAGAGCCTTGTAGTTGTCATTGGATGCAATGAACTGCGCGGTGGAATTAAAAGGGTTCTTGCCGCACATCAACAAGAGTTGAGATGGAAAGATGTTTGTAATGCTTGCTAGAAATCCACTCATACATCGCAACCTTCACTCTTGAATCATGGCTTGTCGTTCTCCCGCATTGCATCAATTTAGAGTTGGACAGACCAAACTGCTGCTGTTAGCTCAACTTCCCTCAACCCGTTTGCTTAAATTCCCACCACCGAAGGACTGCATTCCAAGGCCAAGCAGCGGTCGTGGGCTCCCTTGTAATCACCAACGAGGAGAGGGAAGGCGCCGAGATCATTCACGGAACGGCGGAATGCTACCGGCACGCGGTCACGACGCTGGAGGAAGCAAGCGCGTCCTCCCGGTGAGGAACCTCGAGGAGTGCGGGTGGGTGAAGGAGGCGGACGAGAGAGATGACGGGGGTGAGGAGCAAGCGGGTCCCTCCTGCTGTGGGTGCCCATCGTCGCCGAAATAAGCATCCACGAGGGGGGAGACAAGATCCACTTCAAGTCCGCGGTGGGGATCGGCAGGTCTTTCCGGTTTCCCCGTCTCTCGGCCTTCGTCCACGAGGAGAAGCAGCAGCAGCAGCAGCAGCCCGAGTGAGAGATGGATGCCTGAGACCGTCATACGATTCCATAGCAGGAACGTATATGCTAATATGCGTTTGAGATTGGATGTCATGTGATGGTTAATATGAATTAGACGTATGATTTAGCACATGGAAGAACTTCCATTTCCTAATCTACATATCTATGCGGTTCACAACATAGGTGTCGTGGGTGACCGAGGACTAGATTCCAAGGTGGTCTTCTCGAGCCCTCGTGCTTAGCAACAAAGCATTTATCTTCCTCCCTGAGTTGAGTTGGACGCGAGAGGGTGAGGGTTCCCAGGAGAAAGGTTGTCAGGTGATGTGAGTGAGAGATGGGATCCAATGCATGAACGAGAGAGGTCGACACAGTCTTATTGAGGGTGGGTTCGGTCCTCCCTCTTTTTAGTCCCCCACCCAATAAACCCTAACAACAACTCCATAGGCCTAAACCCTAGGTTGGCCATGAGCACAGGACGTGTCTTTCTTTCCACTGTAGTTCCACAGTCCTCCCTTTGAGACACCATTCCCAGGAGCTACATGTCGAACTCCACACATGCCCTCTGAGCTCTTACATTTGTTGGGAACCCATTGATTATAATCATACGAAAACTACAGCAGGTGTGGTGTCAGAATTAGTGCACTTGTTCTACATGCATGTTGATGCATGAAGATAGTGATTCATGGGTAACTGGTGCTGATAATGCCCAACATCTCCCACACAGAATTCCAAGACACTTAATATTAGCTAATATCAGATCGTGTGGTCTGTCAGAGAAGTCGATTGCGGGACAAAGAGGTGCTTAGAAGATCATGTACCTGAAAGAGATTTGACCACATATCTGATAACATTATTTGCTCATCATCTTCAACCCTACATTTCAGTGTTCTTGGAAAACGAAGTATAGCATCTGAAAACTGCAACATTAGTTCATGATGCTACAAGGTCAAAATCAAGACAGAAGCATGGAGCAGTAGGGTAACATCTCCTAGTTTTCGATCAATACAGACCCATCTGAAACGTGACTCGAGAATCAGAAATGAGGCACAGAATCTATATATAAGAACGGACATATGGATCTGCAGGTTTTCAGGGGGTTAGAGAGAACGAGATATATGTATGATATATCATTTCTTTAGGCATGAGAAAGATGAAAATGAGCCGGAAAAGAAGTGGATGAGAGAGATGTGGGAAGAAGGTTGATGATGTGAGGAGGCCACAAGAGGTTATGTGATCGACAAACCTACATGTGGTAGTGAACATACAGATAGATCACTGTCGATCTTTGGAGAAGATCTACGAGAGCTTACAAGACGATCTTTGACGAGATCATCGAGGATTAGGGTCATCTATGTTGAGGTGTGGTGGTAGATCCGGGGAAGAAAAGAGGAAGGGAGAGATGGCTTGCGGTGGTAATGATAAGATAATGATGAAACCCTTTTGGTGGTCCTGTCAGTTCAGAAGAACGGCAAAAGAAAGACAGAAGCATCATCATTACACCAATCTGCTTCTCCTCTCTCCTCCGCGGTGGATCATCGAGAAACAACGAAGCCAAGTTAGCAGAAAGAAAGCAAAGAGCAGATCATCACAACCCAAAAAACTCTATGGTTGATTGCAGACCTAACCTGTGCATGGATCTCGGAAAACTCATGATTGCCGAAGACGGAAGCTATGATTGGGGGGAATGAAGCCTGGTCCGAGATCACCAAACGTAAAAGAAGGGAAAAGAAGATAGCAGATCTATCCATCTATCTCTCTAGTTTGGTAGATTCCTCGACCCAGACAACATTCCCCGCAAAGGAAAAGCTTCCTGCTTCTTGTTCTTTCTTCCCCTCAAGTCTCGCTGAGCGAGGGTGGTGAGCGATGATAGCTGAAATGATTACCAGCGAGAGACAGAGGGAGGAGGAGAGAGAGAGAGAGAGAGAGAGAGAACTTGGTGTTGTTGTTGGGAAGGGGAAGATAAATAGCAAAAGGAGGAATGGGAGAGGAGGCGAGGAGTAAAGACACAATAAATTAAGCAGCAGGTGGCCCAAACCTCCAGCTGGGTTTCAGACAGCTCTCTCTATCTCTCTCTCTCTCTCTCTCTCTCTCTATCAGATGTAATCCTTGGGATGTGGTGGTCCCTCATCTACCGTTTACTTTGATCAGAACGGTGGGTGATTGATAGGCAGCTGAGGAATGAGAGGCCAGCAGAAACCCTAGACATGGAAGAGGGTGAGGTACAACACCTTCACCTATCCATGCATTGTTTAGTATGTGCGGGCTTTGGGCCTTCAGATCTCTTCTGAATCTTTTCATATGACCACTGGGCCTCCATCCTCAAATTATATGCATGTTAGTATGAATCCATACCACACGCAGTCAAATGCATTTACAGGGCTTTGGGAATCTTCGCATTCATCGTCTCCAAGTCTCGTATGAGAAGGTCGGTGGTGGAGAGTTATGGATGATTGGCTTGCACACAAGTTATCGTTCGAGTACTTAGCATACGTAGCACTGCAGAAAAGAAGAAACAATGAATGTGCGTGGCTGCCATGTATGCGTCCATCCATCCATCCATCCATCCATCAACGCGCCATCACACAACGCAACAACACGTAAAGGTCAGCTCCTACCTCTGCACCTACATAACATCGCGGCTATACATGTGTTGTGTGATATAGTACCACTATTATACGTAACAGCAGTAGAGAGGGGACGTCCTTCTGTCTCTGTTGGTGTGCGCGGAATCCGAAACATAGACCACTGTTCTTAGGAAACTGCTCCTCTCTATCTTTAAATGACTCTTGTCGGGTCTACGAGGAGGGAGGAGGAAAAGCTGTGGGGGAGTGGTTGAGGAGGACGAGTGTTGGTATACGAGGGCCTTAAATGGCTTCGTCACAGGGGATGCATTCGATTGGACGGGGGAGCGGAGCGGAGTGGAGTGGGTGTGTGGTGTTCTGTGTCGTGGGATTTTGGGCTCATGGAGCGGGAGAGATCGTTAGCGCATACATATCGCGTCTTATGCGGCGCGATTCATGTCGAGAGACAGACAGAGAGAGAGAAAGAGAGAGAGAGAGAGAGGAGGCGAGTGAGCCAAACGCGTCAAATCAGCATTTTGACTTTGTGAAAGGCGCGATGGATCGGTTCAATCACGTCGGTCGGTCATGGAATGGTTAGTGTCCGGGTCGAGCGAAGGATTCGAACCTCATATTCCCGTCATCCTTCTGTCCTTCGCAATCTACTCGTTCCGGATGACACTTGCACTATAAAAATAAATAAATATTATTAGAAAAAAATATTATTAATATCTTGTGATTATGATGTGGAGTCGTCCACGATGAAAATCGTTTTCTTTTAACTTATTATCTGTATAAAAATTAAAATCGGGAGAAGCTTTTCGAGTCGATTCTTCCGATAATTAAGTTAGGCGTAAGGTCAACTTCTCTAGGTTTAAATTCTCAATTTTGTATCATTTTAACCTAGAGTCGAGGATGTGTTTTTATACCTAAGAGATAGAATATTTCATAAAGATTTTTTAAGAGAGGTAGTTTGTAATCGATCCGAACTGCCCTTGAACTCCAAAAATATTCCATGAATATTCCATAAGGGTGGTAGTTTGTAATTGACTTGAGCTACCCCTTAGACTCACGAGAATAATTATATGAATATTTCATATGAGAGGTAGTTGGTAACCGACCTGAGTTGTCTTTTGGACTCATATCCATACGAATAAGCAAGTGTCAGGTCATCTAGGCCTTACGTGACGCTTGCATGGCGGGCAATGATCGGCTGATTGTATATTTCATATCATTTATTCCGCTTGAAGGCATGCTTTATGGCTCTTGCGAGAGGGGTTCGAAGCTCATTTTTTAGTTCGTCTGACACGTATCCCTGACCTCTTTGTTAGCACGACGTGGCCCTAGGAGCATTAAAGATCTCGTATTACAGGTTAGGTTTTCCTAATTTAGGCATTTCAAGCACATTTGGTCTTATGCCTCTTTTGTAATGGATTTATCTTTTTCTCGACTTATATGTCTTGGGCACATTTGGTCTTGTGCCTTCATCATAACGGATTTCGCTTAGCTCTGGTCATATTTTTCTTGACTCACATGACTCAGGCACTATTCAGGCCTAGCCTTTGCCATAACAGGAGTTTTTCTCTACTCATCCACCTCAAGCGCCATTCAACCCGAGCCTCTGCTGTAGTGGGTCTTTTAGTGTGATTCGAGTTTTTCTCGACTCATGCGCTTTGGACGCCATTCGACTCGAGCCTCCCACTATAGCGACTCTTCTATCACGGATCGATTTTTTTTCGACTCATGGGTCTCGGGCACCATTCTGCTCGAGCCTTTGTCATAGTAGGTCTTCTAGTGTGGGTTGAGTTTTTCTCGATTGATATGCCTCTTTGGGGCGATCGGATTTTTCTCGAATCACACGCCCCGAGCGCCATTTAGCCCGAGCCTCCACCGTAGCAAGTCTTTTAGCGCGGGTTGGGTTTTCCTCGACTCATGTGCCTCAGGCACCATTAGGTCCGAGTCTCCGTCGTATCGAGTCTTCTAATACGGGTCGGGTTTTTCTCAATTCACGCGCTTTGGACGCCATTCAACCTGAGCCTCCACCATAGCGAGCCTTCTAGCACGAGTTGGGTTTTTCTCAACTCATATTCCTCGAGCACCATTCAGCTTGAGCCTCTGCCATAGCGGGACTTTTAGAACGGGTCGAGTTTTTCTCGACTCATGTGCTTCAAGCGCCATTCAGCCCAATCCTTCATTGTAGCAAGCCTTCTAGCGTGGGTCAGGTTTTTCTCGACTCACGTGCCTATTTGAAGTGGCCTCGAAGAAACACTTGATCACTTCGTGAAGGGTGGCTCCATCGTAGGAGGGGAGAGTCTGCTTTCCTCGATCGATATCAGTAGTGGGAGGAGAGAGAGAGAGAGAGCATATCTTCTTCACATCTTTCTTGATTGATAAATTAATAATGTAGGAGAGAGAGAGGGACACTTGTGTTAATCATAGGAGGAGAGAGATTATCTCCTCTTTATAAATCTCCTTTAGCTTATAGAGCGAGGCTCATTCCACTACTTAAGCCTCTATTGTTTCATAAGCTTTCTCCTTATTTCTAGCTCTAAAAAGCTAGTCGATCCTTAAGTCGTCTATCGTCTGACTTTTGCGTCTCAAGTTGGGATGTCTCTCTCCTCTCGTATAAGTTCCTCCCAATCCACTAGCCGTTAGTTGGTTGAGGTCCATACTCTACCCTCTTATAGTTCGGGGGTGAAAGGGGTCCTGGCCTCGCCCTAATCGAGAGGGGGTCCCATAAACCTAAGTGTTTTTCAAGATTCTGAGTCCATAAAGAGTCAAATATTTTATCTCGATCGAGTTCGAGCTGTAGGCTCCTCGTCCCGGTCAACGTCCATATAATTTGGTGCTCAGGTCTTTGTGTTTATCTTCCTCTTCACCAAGTGATAATGCTATCGAATGGTGAGGCATATGGTAAACTCATATGGTGCTATTTAATGGTGTTTATCGGAGAATGCAAGCGCATGATGCCTTAAAAAAGTTTTTTGTAGCTTGCTTTCGACTATGCAATGGGAAAAATGGCTACTACTTAATCGTTTCGGGGGAGAGGGGGCTTCAAAGTTAGTAGCACCCTCTCGAATAATAAGGGTTGGAAGGAGTGTTTCTTTTTTTGTAAGTCTAGGTCGGGATTGGGGATTCAACCTTACCTGGTCGACACACTCCATAGATAGCATTCCTCCCCTATTATTGGATGAGGAGGGAGATCTGGTACTTCGATTGAGAAATATACTCTCCTTATCCCGGGTCATCCGAAAGATGAATATGGACTGACTGATCGATATGGGTCTCAATTCAACTCCATGAGATATGACCCGAACCTTTCATCACCTCCTTCAATCTTCTATGGTCTCACGATATTAATCCTTTTATAGATATAGACGTATATTCCCTAAAGAAGTGAGGATGTGGCTCATGATGAGTTACAATATTGTATAAATAATTACTGAGGTGGGAGATTGAAAAGAAGCCATATATGAAGCAAGTGCATGGTTCTGCAATGGGAAAAATGACTACTACTTAGTCGTTCTGGGGGAGAGGGGGCTTCACACCCTCTCAAATAACAAGGGTTAGAATGAGCGTTTCTTTTTTTGTAAGTCTAGATCGGGATTGAGGATTCAACCTTACATGATCGACACACTCCATAGATAACATTCCTCCCCTATTATTGGTTGAAGAGGGGGATCAAGTAATTGAGAAATATACTCTCCTTATCCGGGGTCATCCGGAAGATAAATATGGATTGACTGATCGATATGGGTCTCAATTCGACTCCATGAGATATGACCCGAACATTTCATCACCTCCTTCTTCAATCTTCTACGGTCTCTAGATATTAATCCTTTTATAAATATAGATGTATATTTCTAAGTAGTGAGTTACAATATTGCATAAACAATTACTGAGGTGGGAGATTGAAAAGAAGCCATATACGAAGCAGGTGCATGGTTAATCATCAACTTGCTTATTGTGGGAAACCATTGGTAAAGGAGCCATACAGTGGTGCGTCTCTAGACAATTTTGACATGGAATAGAAAGTCCATGTTTCACATTTGGATGATCCGAGCTCCATTGCTGAGAGGTATCACTAGGCAATGTTCTCCAGCTTACAAAAGTCAATAGTGTTTTGCAGTGGTCAGATTGACTGCATTATCGAGGTGTGATTGAGATAGGAAGAGAAAGTAGGAAAGAAGGACAACAAAGAAAAGAAAGAAAGGAAGAAACTCTTTTATCCTATCAATCGATAGGAAATATATAATTTATTATCCTATAAATTATCTTCTCATTCATTATGATAAGAAAAATAATAATAAATTTTCTTCTTTTTCTTTATGAAAAGGAAGATGATCCTAAACTCCCTTTTCTTTTTTTTATTACCAGAAAGGATATCACAAACTTCATTTCATCTCCTTCTTCAAAATATAAAAATACATTCTAAATAAAAAAATGAGACAAAGACTCTTTCTATTCTTAAACTATTTGAGCCTATATTTAGGGATCTCGAATTACCAACTTGAGGGTCGAAAGGATCGGATTGGAAAACCTCCTTCGACCTTGGTCTTTATGCATGTACCACGTTGGGAGTGTAATACTTCTACTTCGGGAGCACAATACTTCTGCTTTGAGAGCTTGATACTTCTATCTCGAATCCACCTTGGAGTCATCTCGGGAGCTCAATACCTTCACTTCGGAGATACGTCAAAGACATTTCGGATAATCTTACACATACGGATCCGGACCATGTTGAGATAACCAAAATGTCAACGATATTTTTTCCTAACAATAAGTATTCATAGTATCCTTTGTGACATTTTTATAGTTGCCTTTGAATTTGTTCAAATTACAAAAGAAAAAAAATGAAAAAAAAAATATGCAGACGGGAGAGTAAGGGCTGGTATTGGAATGTTAGTCCCTCTTTAAATGGGCTGCTCTTGGACCTGTATAACTGGGCCTAACGGCCCATGTTCACCTTGTATAATTGACCATCCGTCCTACAGTGATGTATTTTTCAGGAATAGTACACTGGCCTCGTATATAAATATATAAAGAAATACCGAGGGCTATGCTCTACAACACAGATATATTTAATTGACTGTCATGGGAGTGGAGATAGACCGAGCACAAATTTACAGGCATATCAAGAACAATATTTATCTCATCCTAAGCAGCTATGCATCTCTAGAACGTATCTAACACGAACACTGCTTGTTTCCAAGGCGGCTATGCTGATCTTATCATCTGATGTAAATAACAGACGAGAAGACCGAGCACATTCCTAACAGAACCACTGCAAGCTAAAAAGGTTAAAAGGCCATTCATTCACCACTGCCACAAGCCTTGAAATTTCCCTACCTGCTCTTGGCATGTGTAATCGAATGAAAAAACCAAAAAACAAACTAAGGGGAAAAATATATATATACAAATTTAGCTTGCAAGGAAAAGACACCGATATATAAAATCCACTTTAGAGTTAATATAAAAATGATGACATGGTCGAATTTTGCACACCACAATTATAGTTAAATTGTAAAGAAATGCACCATAATTTTTATAATTGGAATTGACTATCGAAGTAACGATACACAAAGCCCATTATAAGACTGATGACTCTTTTGGTATGTTCGCAACATAAAATTATTTCTTCTATCGAAAGGCTAAGCTAATCGAATCAATTATATAATAACTTAAGTATCAAAAGGATATTATGAAAGATAGAAGGTCAATGCAACGAGAGTCTAATTTGTCCAATGTCAACATGAATCAATCTGGAATTAATTTGAAAAAAATCTTCATTAGTTCCAAATCAACTTTTAATTCAAACAAGCAAAATTTAAGTTAAGAAGAATCAGATTAAATTTTCTCTACTTAGAATACTATCATAAAGTAAGTAGTGGAATACTAACATAAAGTAGTCAAGTGATGCTACTGTGTTTGACCTTTGGTCAGGGAAAGAGATTAAGACATGTTCTTTAGCAAAGATGAAAAAGGTCTCCCAAGTTCATTCGGCATACCTGGTCAGTCGGCGCAGGCGACATATCAGTACAGATATCTAGCGTATCCCAAATGCCAGCCTTCATATGCTGAATAAAGAGAAGCTGATCAGTGAGGACATGTGCAAAATCATAAGCTTTAGAAATATAGCCCATCCAAAGTTTTAAGCTCTCCAACACAAGGAATCAACTTAACAACAAAGGCAGCAAATAGCAAAACCCTTTGACATTTAGAACATCCAAGATGCATACTCGTTCTTCCAGATAATGCTTAAATCTTATTTTGGTAACAATCCTATTTGAGTTAAGGCAGACATAACGTTTCCAACATTATAATCGCTGATATAATGCTTCCCACAAATAATAACCATCATCACCTTCTTCCTTTTAAGCCCATTAACACCACCAAATGCTATCTATGTATGTAGTACAAATACCAGCTTGCTCCTTATTTACAGCATAACTGAAGTACAACAAAGATACATTGCATGCCCTTCTCAAGTTCATTATCAACACGAAGGAAATTGGGCCCAAAATCCAACAAGACACTGAGAATACATAGAACAACAATCTGACATCAAGACTTCAAGGCATTAACACTAATGTCTTTTGTCACCATAGACATTCTAAGATTACAAAGCAAAGCATCACGCCCCATTAAAATAATTTGGAAAAAGTGATCAGCTTGCTTCGAAAGAGAATCTAGCTCATGGCCAAGCGTCTGTACTCCGGCTGCCAGATTGGTAACACAGTCTCGCAACCATTGTCGTCGGAGGTCACTACCTTTCCCCGGTGTAATGGATCCATCTTCAAGATTAATCCCATCGCTATCCTGTGCAGGTTCTTCTTTATAATTGACGTCGTTAGTCAAATCATACAACCGTGAAGCACATAATTTAACCGCTTCTATCTCTTTGAACACTGCCACCTTCCCACTTCCAAACTGTCTCTTAAATTCCCCATTCACAACAGCTTGCAAGTCTCCGAACGCCTCAAACCAGAGGAACCCATCGGAAGCATGCACGTCTATAGATGGCTTTGAGCAGCCTGACATTGTCGCCGAAAAGATGCCAAAAATGAATACAGTCATAACTCTAAATCCGTACAAGGCTCTCATGAGTGCCTTCCCTTTGGAGCTCTTGACCTTTGGGAAACCAAGCGTTCCTTGAAGACTCACAATGATGGCAGGACAGTTCTCTAGTTTGGGACTCTTCGAATCAATGCGTTCGATCCATTCATGAAGATACAAGTGAGCCTTGGCGAGTTCTTCTGATGAAGGACAACCGGTCGAGATGTCCACGAGATGCAGCACATACTTGAGGAAAAGTTGGCCTCGATCCAATCGGGATAGCTCGGCGATTAAAGCGATGCAAATATCAAGCAGCTTCACGCTGCTGTCCAAGTATATGTTGGTCCACTTCTCATCCCAATCGGAAACGGGTAACTGAAGCTCATTCATCAGAGTTTTTATGCTATTGTGTGTATGCGACAAGAACTCGATAGCAAGACTCATCCAAGATAGTGTAAAGACATCAGAAGCATCCTTTGGGCTGAGCTTCTTTAGGTTTTCTGCCAGGCTTTGCTCAAAAGAGAACAATAATTTACGAGTCTCCACCGATGGATTCGATCCCTTGGGGAACATAATCCGAAGGGGATTTCCAAAGGGAAAGAAAGGCCGCTGTTCATCATGTGCTTGACTCATGTTGGTTCAACTGTACCCAAATAAAATCTGTTCTTCAGAATGGCAATCAAACGAAAGCTGGAAATCAGCTTTAAATATATCCATTAAATTATATATAAATACCATTTCAAGCAAATAAACTCCTAAACCAAAACCTAAAGATGCATACCCAGCAATCTGCCATGATCTACCATCGAAAAGGGTTCGCAACAACAACAGCGACCAAAAGAAACCACGCCGCGAAAAGCACGACACGAATGACTTGCACTGGTCTATCTGCTCGTGGACGAGATTAATAGATAGATGATTCAACAAAAGCGACGAAACAGAGGAAGGCATCGAGAAACGCCCAAATCTCAAATGAACAACTTCGTCGACGCTGGCAGAATCAAAAGAAGCCGAAAAGGAACAACAATCGATAGGATCCGTACCCTTATAAACCGGCGACCGAAATTTTCTGCTTCGGTTCTTGCAGAGAAATCTCGGATCCAACGATCTGCCCATCCATCCACGACAACTAGGCGAGATCGTGCGGATCGACACCATCACGCACAAACTAAGGAACAACCTCCGCCGAAAAGAATCGGAAGCGAAGGCTTAGAGATCGAGGAGGAAAGGGCTTCGTACCTGAGAAAGCGGGTCGCAGCGGAATCGTACGACGAAGAAGGCGATCGACCGGCCCTAATGCTCGAATGCGACGGTTACAACGGACCGGAAAAAATCTTCTCCCCTATCCCGGTTTAGTACGCGCCCGAAACTTCTAGAGGGAGGTACTCGAAGCGTTGGGCGGCCTAAGCTCCGATTGTTTCATGTGGCATGACGGGATTGGCTGTTCGGCTGAAACATAAACAGGTAGAATCAAACCGTTAATAGCTTACAGGTGGAATCCTAATGTCGCATAAACTAGCATTTGTGTAAGATGAAGGCGTTGGCTGTTGGCTTTGGTTTAGCTGATTTGTGGGGTTGCGTGGGTTGTCCGCTTGTCGTGATTTATTTGGGTGACGGGCATGAAGATTCGATATTCAATTAGGTTTTGGAGTGATTTCAGGTCCGAGAGGGCTGAGGTGGGCAAAGAGTCGAGAACATGTGGGTCCCGTCCGGCTCCTCCAATGAGACCGTTTGCCACCCTCACGTACGTGGAGCCCCAGGAAGCCAAGCCGCTTAAACACGTCAGTTCAGACGAGTCAGCAGGTAGGGTGGCTAACGGTCTTCATCCTTTCGATGAGCTCGGCTAAGAATGCCGAGCCGGCGGCTCTCAAGAGACCGAGTTATGCCTCCATCGTCACCGGTTATCGAAGCCATTCTATTTTGCACAGATTTGGTTGTCGCATGGGTTTATACGTGAAGCAGGAGATATAAGTGATGTCTAGATGAATTTTATTTGAGTCGTACAGATTTCGGATTACGAATCCTATAAATATCCTGGTCGAAAAAATTTATGATATGATTTTTTTCCTATATAATAGTAAAAATATCGTCAATCAATCATCGTTCAACACATGATCTTTACGTGATGTGCATGATAGAATAAGAAGAAAGATGCCACCCTTCATTTGTCTATCCACGTGAATAAATGTTTAAGACAAACGATTATAAATTGTCTCATCTTTATCATCAACATGGACAAGAGGCCTAGTGGAGACTCTTGTAAGCGATTAAAAATTATCTTTCTATAAAATATTTTATCTCTTTATGACTAGATATAAAAGCTCATCTACAATACAATGAAAATGGGGTTACATTGTTTTGACTACTTATGTTCACACTCATATACCTAGGATTACTAACTTAGAGCATCGAAGGGATCAAGTCGAAAAATCTCTTTCAACCTCGGTCTTCATGGAAGACACCTTGGGAGCTTGATATTTTTACCTCAGATACACCTCAAACAACCCTAGGCATATAGGGTTGGACTATGTCGAGTTGACTAAGACGTCAATGACTTCTCTTATCATTTTGATGATAAAAGAAGGACATGATATTACAGGAATATCAGGGAAAAAGGATTTGCCCCTGACTTATAGTACTTTCACTTAAAAGGGGTAGTAACCACCCATTTCACACATTGGTGCCTCTACTTTAATGTAGACATTAATGTGATACTGTCGTCTATTCAATAACCTGGGCCTCTCACCCCTAAGGATGACCCTGAGCCATATACTCGTCCCAACCGATGTATTCTTGAATCTCACCCAATAATTATAAATAATAACGGGTATAATATAGGCCATCGCTCCACTTTTGCCCCAATTAGCCCAATAGGTAACACCACCAGCTTAATCATGGTCACTGGCACAACTGCCATTAGCACTAACACCCATCAAAGTTTCCTCATATAACGTGGTGTCGATATCCTAGGAGCTCTCGAGACCCGTCGAACCACCGATCGAGGAGACACTTTATCCCTCAATCATAGAATTCAATGGACCACACCACCACTCTACCCTACTTATTTATAGAAACTTTCATAATAGGGCTAAAACCCTCTTGCCTCTTTTGGTTGTTGATAGAGAGGCCACTAGTAATTATACAAGAGGCACTTTAAAGTGTCAACTAATATATCATCGCCAAAACAATAGTCTTGAGCAAGCGTGATAAGTCATGCAAAAGGTCAAAGCAGGAGTGGTCATAATAAGCCTCAACCTTGAGGTCATCGTGGCAAAGGATTTATGAACAACCTGAGTTACCTCGCCCAAGGTATGAGTTGACCTCCCTAAATATGACTAAAACTGTAGCTTTCTGTAAATAAAAGAGAATAGACTCTTGAAAGACCCTCACCCAACGAAGACCCCATTGGTGAAAAGTCTAAACATTATTGATTTTATTGGGATTATGATAATGACATGGAGGATTGTCGTCACTTGAAAGAGTAGATTGAAGAACTCATATATTGGGGACACCTCGACTATCAATCGAAAGCATTGAGAACTCTCACCTTGATCTCAAATGTTGGTGGAGAGATAGATTAACATCATTATTAGTGGACCTATCTCAAGGGGAGATAACTCCTTAGGTCATAAGGCTTATGTCCAAGTTATCATTGAAAAGCGCTTGAGGACGAAAGACAATAAGGAGATAATCTTCAAGGAGAAAGAGGCAAAGTATCTTGACCCGCATCATGATAATGCCTTAATAGTTTCTGTGAGGATGATTAATGCTAAGGTGAAGAGGATCATAATTGACATAGATAACTTTATTGATATTCTCTACTTTGATGCTTTTAAAAAACGTGGGTTGCCAACTAACTACCTTACCCTTCTAACGTCTTTGCTAACGAGGTTCATTGGTGAGACTATCTCACCTCTCGGGATCATGAACCTATACATTGTATTCGGAGATGAGGCTTGTTCGAAGAGAATATTGGCTAAATTTATAGTGGTAAATATCTCATTAGCATACAATATGATTATAGGTCGACCCATACTGAACAGATTAAGGACGGTAGTGTCAAGCTACCATATAGTGATAAAGTTCTTAACGAGAACCGGGATTGGAGAGCTAAGAAGCAACCCAAGGGAGTCACGCTCCTACCAAAGAAGGCCCAACCTAAGGCACCACATATAGACCCTCGAGACTCTGCTAAGTTTGTCCCACATATTGAGTTAGTAGAGTCATTGATTGAAGCACCCCTAGACTAGACCTAGTGCTTCGGAAAGCTGAAGTCAATGACCCAACTAGATCTGGGGTAAGCTAGTGTCAAATTAGAAAGGTCCATATTGAGTTATTAAGGTCGTCTAAAACAAAATCTATCACCTTAGGACAACAAAATGAGTGGTGCCGATAATGACATGGCACATTGCAAACTTAAAGAGGTTCTACCACTTAGACATCCCTTGGAGTTAGTTCAGGGTGATAACGTCTTAAGCGTCAAGCCTTGATCTATTATATCTTTGGCACCAGTTGTAAAAAAAAATATAATTTTTCAGGGTATAGGTATTGCAAGTTGAGAAAAGAAAGTTTCACTACTTAAAAAGACTACACCACATGGTCGGGCCTCTATATCTAAAATAAGACCTTGACCTATCAAGATAGAGACTGGTGAAGAGGATAAGCCCATGATACAGCAAGGAAAAGACATAAAGACAAAGTCAAGTAGGCAAACTCGATGACTCAGTAAAAACCAACACCTCACAAGACAAGATAAGAATCGTCTCCTCCCTAAGCCTCACAACTTGCTCGAGAAACTCAAGTTTGTATTACCTCATTGAACCTAGCTCTCGATGAAATGTTGCTTTGCCTCTTCTAGTTGCCTCACCACCTCGACTACTCGAGTCTTTACCTTAATGACAAGCGTTGAGCCTTTCCTCTTCTTCTTTAGTCCCTCCACATCCTCGTAGAGATTATCAATCATAACAAACTACTAATAAATGATGGATTCAACATCATGTATGTTGTTAAGAAGGGTCATAACGTAATAGTGATACTATAAGTCAAAGACAAAGATGCATCTCTACAAGTGTAAAAGTGACCAATGTGCGAAAATCACAAAAAACATAAAAGAAATCCATTATAGTAGGAGGCACAAGACATATTATGCTTGAGGTGCTTGAGTTAGGAAAACCTAACCAACATAATAAGAAATCCACCACGATGGGAAGCATAAGACAAAATATACCCAAGATACATAAATCAAAAAAATCGAACCCATATAATAAGAAACTCACTATGGCGAGAGACACAAGATAAAATATGCTCGAGGCATGTGAGTCAAGAAAACCCGACTTGCATAATAATAAATCAGTCATACAAGTGGCATAAGATAAAATGTGCTTGAGGTGTATGAGTTGGGAAATCCCAACCCGCGTAATAAGGAACCTGCCAAAGTGGGAGGCACAAGACAAAATGTGCTTGAGTTGCACAAGTCAGAAAAACTCGACCCTAATAAGAAGAAACATACTATAGCGAGAGGCACAAAATAAGATGTGTCCAAAGCACATATTGGAAAAACCCAACCCGCATAAGAGTAAACCCATCACGATGAGAGACACAAGGGAAAGAATGTTTGAAGTAGGGAGGTAGAGCACCGACCCCTCTTTTACTCGAGGTGGATAGGCCACTACCCAACATAGCCCATTAACTTGGAGGCTTGTAAGAGAGAGAGAGAGAGAGGTATGTAGACACTTGAGTTGAAACGAGCCCCTCTACTCAAGGTGGGTCCCCTGATAATATGAGTAGCAGGTTGATGATGGACTGTTGCTATGTCCGGAAACATGACCCCCTCCTCCACAACGAACAGAGGAGATCGCCTTGACACCACCTATAGCCCGAGGCGTGGAGGTTAGGAAACTTGATCCCCTCTTCTGTAACAAATAGAGGATGCCACCTCTATGCTGCCTCTAGCTCACCTTGACTCCTCTCATAGCTTACTTAAATAACGAACAGGGGAAGAGGGGCAGGATGGTGATAAGGGGCTTCACAACATCCCTACTATGGACCTATTCCTGATATAGGTGCTAGTCATATGTGTCATGTAAGCCAATCATGTGAGTGATGGTATGTGTGACATGCTACATAATATTTATATTGGATGTTGCATATATTATGATATCCATAAATTTGTGTAATAAGAATCAGATCGTGATGAGATCATGATAATGAGACTGATTCATATTTGAACACAAACTCTAAATAATCTCAATCGTAGATTACTCGAAATAAACATCAAGATAATCGGACAGACTAGTGTGCTGTATACCCATATATATGATGAAGGCGGATGGTCTCGTAGCTACTCGTGTGGAGACATTAGGGATACAACACAGGTGCTTATTAGAAAATGAGTTCACTGATTGATCTACTCATTAAATACTGGATGGTTAATAATACCTCATTGTCAAACTATGGTTTCATGATCTTAATTGTGTGTTTGGTCCTTAGACTTGAGATATCAAGGATATCCTATATGAGTACTTCACTCTTTGATTTTGGATTTATAAGTCTGGAGGTTCCAGATCTAGCATAACCGATCATCAGGAGTGATAGCCAATCTTATGAGAGCAATTGGGTGTCAATAGATGACCACCCACTCTCGGTGTCATAAGAAAAATATCTTATGCGTTCTTACTCAAGCAAATCCCTAGTTAGGGTTATTTGAATTGAGAGAAAGAATTCTCTAGGAGAATCCGATTAGAACAAGACTTGAGTAGATTCCGTATGAGCCTGACAGCACCATGCCCAGTATATGATTTCTGAGATATCAGATGGATGAGGGAGTATAGATGCACAATAACTAAGGACAGACAAATATAATGGATTGAATTCTCTTGTATCATTTGGGGACTACGGCATAGTGGCCTAGTACATCTGTAGTCGATGACTCGAGTGAATTATTATGGAGATAATAATTTACTAAGTCAAAAGAAGTTCTGATAGGTATGACTCATGACCAGCTCGATATTTAGCCTAGAGGGTCATACACATACGGTAGGTGTTGCAACTAATAGAGGTTCGGATATGAGATATCTGATGGAATTCATATCTTATTGGATATTAGTAAATCCCTGAATTATTGAATCTTGTGGATAAGATCAAATAAGAGCCAATAAGAGATTATTGGGTAAAGATCTATTAATATAAGATGCTTGGATTATTAGATGAAGATCTAATACTCAATATAGCAGGATCTATTAGGGTTAAGTTGATCTATAAATAGGAGGGAACCAAAGAGGCATATGTCAGACCCCTTTTTAGCTTCCACCTCCTATTCTGCTCCCTCTTTCTCCTCAGCTGACAATCTCAATTTGGGGCATGTGGACAGCAAGAAGGTCCGACCCCTTCTTGATTGCGTGGTGCACGTGGAGAGGAAGATCATGTAGCGATTTGATAAGCGTTTTTGTCGTATTTACCATATGGATAACCGCTAGAGAAGAGGACAATTGGCCTCCTTCATCCATTCTTGCAGATATGGTATACGAGAAGGTTATACGATCTTTCTAGGTAATAAATCTATCTTGACACACGTGATTTTTCGGTTTTGCATTTTGTTTTTGCGTATCAATCTTCACATAACAACGAAACCTATTTTTTTTAGAAAATTTGAGATTTTATTTTTCTGTTCTTCCATCGTGCATGTGATGCTCTGTCTAGATTTCCCAATAATGGGTCCCTTGAGGATGAGAAGAGGAAGAGGAGCATCGCTTGCAACCTACTTGAGCTCCTCTCATAACCCGCCTCGTTGGTGAACAGAGGAAGAGAGGTAGGTCAGTGACGGGGGGCCTCTCATAACCCTACTGTGGATTTATTGCCCAATGTGGGCCCCTTGAGAACGAGCAGAGGAGGAGCCCACCCGCACGCTACTTGTAGCCTATCTTGCCTCCTCTCATAGCTTGCCTCGACGATACTGTTGCCCAACATGGGTCCCTTGGGGATGAGCAGAGGAGGAGCCCACCTCTCATCACTTGCAGCTCGCATCGGCTTCTCTCGTAGCATGCCTTAATGATAAGCTTCTCTCGTAGCAAAAAGGAGAGAGGTAGGTCGGTGATGAACCCCCGCTAGCAACACTTGCACCTCTTGTCTGCAGTCCTAAACAAGCTAGGAAGATCAAGAAACATGACCCTCTCTTTCCCCCGAGGTGGGTCCCTCGATAATATTTTATTGGTCGATGATGGATCACCACAAATAGTGCTCATGCTCCACGCCTGTGGTCTTCACTGAGCTAGGGAGGTCGGGAAGTCCGACCCTCCCCTTTCGCTACTGTCAAGCCATCGAGATCGGGAAACCACGATTGCCGACCTCTACACCTGAAGGTCACGTATCGAGGCCTCATGAGATAACAAAATTCCTTTATTGTTTACTAATGTCAATGGAGTTGCACCTGATAGAAATCACAAATCAAGCTTCCGTAGATTACAGCTTGTTACAAAGAATCCAAACCGAGTTGATCATTCACAGTGGCAATCATGCAGCATGATAACATTCTCCTTCCTTCGAAGGAAATCATTTACAAAAAGCAATGGCTTCTCCAGTCCAAAAGCTTTGCTTTCCATCAAAAAGCATCTCCATCTCATCGCAAAGAACCTTTAAAGCAGAAGAAAAGCCAGACGAGATAAAGCAGAACCATGCACACGTTCCTTTTCTACAGCACCAACCACCAGCATCCCAAGAGCAGCATCAGCTTCCAAACAAGCATCACTGGAAAAAGAAGAAAAAGAGGAGGAAGCAGATCAACTAGTGCAGTAGAATAAACTCATTGTTGCAACTGTTCTCTGTGTGCAAGGAAGTTACCATGGCCAGTGATCGAAGCATTCCCTGTGGATCGCCAGAAGTCCTTCAGGTCCTCGTTCTGACCGTAGCAGTCGGTGCTGCTGTTTACCCCGCTCTTGCAGACACAGACGAAGTAGTTCTTCGGCGGTTCGTAGCCACACACCCCGTCGCTCCGCTCGCACGCCGCGCACGCCTCCGCCAACCCGTCCACCTCGATCTCCGCCTCCCCGTACTTGAGAGCGACGCCGTAGTCCCAGGTGCTCGGGTCCATGGGCGTCGGCCCCAGCGACGCCACCGACGCGTAGGCGGCGCACCCGAGGCCCTGGAGGTCGAGGTCGCCCTTGGGGCCTAGACTGGCCGGGGAGTAGACGCAGCAGGTGTTGGTGGGCGCGAAGAGCGGCAGGCCGAGGGAGGCCACGGCGGGGCACTCGAGGAGCGCGCCGCAGAGGCGGGGGCCGGAAGCGGCGTCGCAGATGAGGTTGCCGTGGCTGGCCAGGGAGGAGGTGGGGGCGGGGCAGGCGAGGAGGACGAAGACGGAGGAGTCGAGCTGGAAGGGAGCGGACCAGTCGAGGCCAATGTTGGGGGCGGAGGGGTGCATGGAGGAGCAGGTGGACATGAGGGGAGGGGCGATGGTGAGGGTGGAGGCGGAGTAGGAGATGGAGGTGATGGGGTACCTGCCGGTGTGGGTGCCCAGAACGAGCTGCTCCTTGTCGTCGTGGTCGCTGTCACCGGCGCTGTTATCGTCGTCGTTGCCGCCTGGGGTGCAGGTGACGGAGGGGTAGAAGTGGGGGGAGCCGCAGCCGTAGCCGGTGCCGAAGGGGTAGCGGACATCGATGGAGCCGCACTTGTTGGAGCAGGTGCAGCTGGTGAGGGATGGGAAGAAGACGATAACGTGGAGGAAGAGGAGGAGGTTTAGGTAAGAAGGATGACGAGGATCCATGGCGAAGTCTCTTCCCTCTCTCTTTTCTGGTTTAGGCCAGCAGGCGAAAGTCGTAGATAACGCAACAAGTTGTCGAGGCCATCATGTAAAGCCTACACTGTAGTCGTCAGGGTAAATCGGGACCGTCCATCATCTGTCGTTAGAGATCGCGCCCGTCGACGTAAAGAAACGCCCCACGCGATACGGCCCACGAGAGAAAGGCAACCCTCGTGGCATCGAACGTACATACTAGCGCGAGTCCACCGCCACTCCTTGGCTTCTTCGTGTAGACATACATGCATGTAGGAAAAATAATCACGGTGGTCAGAAAAGAAATACACGTTCCTGCGCTTCAGATTACATACCTTGGAAGTTACTAATTTGTCCCCCCACAGAAAACCAAGATGTTGATCAAAGAACCCGAAATATATTGCATTGATCAAATAAGTCTATGCATTCAATAAAAAAGAAAAAGACGGCGGCATGTTGTTGAATGCAGCAGCTACGGGGCATCAAACCCCAAACTCGCACACCCTTGACTAGACTAGAGCTGTATGATCAACTGTTTACATGTAAATCACCTAGCTATAGCCGAAGAAAGACCAGTGGGGATCGGCACGACGGCTATACAACTCCGGCATACCACTTGTATAACGATTATAACATCCGATCAGGCTCAGAAGAGACGTCCAGTGCATTCGACGCTTCGCTTTGCTTCACTTGAACCACTCTGCCAAACAACAAGGCAAGTCAGATAAAAAACACGGAAAGCAGATGTATTCAATTTGAAATTTTTTTGGAAACTATTCATTAGCCCAAAAAGTTTCTAACTAACTGCAGTTGTCAGATAATTCCATCTACGACATTCAACTATTCCACCACAAGTCAACCCTGAATAGACTAACAAAGATTTACTATTGCTTCTTTTTTTCTGCGCCCTCAAGACTATGAGACAACACGAACTTAAAATGCAAATGTATAATTGCATCCCATCATCATATATTTCCATGGTAATGGTTCATTCAAGGCGATCCTTAAGATGCAACAAATTGCCACAGTTGACAGACTTGGGTCAAATTTTGAGTTTTTATCACAACCAGAAGCAGAACAAAGAGATATGTAATATGGCATATATAAACAAAACATAATCAGCATCAATAGGTTTCAAATGCACAATAGCAAACAGTTTTGCTTATGAAAGCATTACAACATAACTACTAAATTGATTAGCAGATATACGATAATTTCATTCTGACAAACTAGCAAGCTTATATGCCTATATGTACCATGTACAAAATCACAAACAGAAACAAAATCACAAACAGAAAAGATTATCTGCAAAGCATTTTAACTGATGGCCTCTGCGAGCAGAAAATCCACAGTACTTGTGCATTCCATAATCCAGAGATTCTCTTCGTCAGATGTATTTTGCTATGTATACCGAAGGGTTGTCCTAAAATCAAGCTGTACGGTACTCTTAATGGTTACTGCATAATTCCCAATATGTTACACAAAGCAAAGAAAACAGTTAGAGGAGCTGAATATACATGTATGTTCCAGATAGTACAAGATGCATGTTTGCACTAATAAAAGATCACAAGCAACAAATTGTGAACCATGAACGAGCAGTGCACATGTCACTATGCAAGTGCAGCAACACATTTGGTTATGAACTCCATAGAAGCAAAGATACAGTGTTAATGTAGAGCTAGTAATCAACACAGAGGCAGAATTATAAGCAGTCAGTTATCATTTCCAATAGAGCAATACATGACCTAAAAGGCTTCTTTTAAATGTAGCATCTTGCTAAGCCAGAAAAACCAAAAGAATGAATCCCAACCATAGGGCTGTTAATGACCCAAGGCTTCTTTTTCAGGTAGCCAAACCAGAACAACAACCCCCCTCATCCCAACACTCTAGGTCAGCTGCATGGATCCTCAGAATGCTAACCTCAATTTGGAAAACACATGCCAACATTTGTAAGTATTCTTCAGAATGCTAACCTCAACTCACAAAAAGGTCTTACCATAAATTGTGGAAGGAGCATGCACAGTACAAGATTATCAGCCTTTACAAGAGCTAAATCTTTGGCTTAAAGCATTTGACAGCCTTCATAAACATCCTCAACGGGGAACGGGCCTTGGAAGACAACAGTTCCAATTTTGTGATAAGATGAAATTGGTTAACCTTACACAACATTTCCTCTGGTTCTGTTTGCAGCAATAATCAGATGTTTTCAAGCTCAGGGAGCCCAAATGAAGTATAAACTCAGTCCCTTTTGGTAGCAGTATTTGATCTTTCTTTTGATGCCTCCTTTACTATTTTCTTTTTCTCAGCTTCAGCATTTCTTGCATTCTCTTCACGCGATTTATTGAACATATTGACAAAGACCACCAATATTGATGTGACTGCAGAAGATGAAAATTAGTGCAAAAGTCAAGAGATAAACCTTTATAAACAAGCATTGTTTAAAAGACAAACAATTGACTGTGTATCTCATCACAGATGAGAAGTGGAAGTCATGTTTTGTCGATTGAAATAGAGCCAAATGTACCCAAAAAGATTGCTGATGCCTTGGAGAAAAGCTATTAAGATCTACAATTATAGCTATTCTTCCTCGCTACATTATGCTACTTAATGCTTCAGAAACAATGAGAACAACTATGAAATTTGCAAGGATCCCAATTAAAACATGAGAGCAACTATGGAATTTGCAAGAATTCCACAGACAATTATGATAGCAGGAATTTGACTAGTGATTATTTCCAAGTTAACCACTTTTCTATCTGAGTGACTGAAAAGTTCGCATACTAAAATAGGTGGTCAGTTAAACAAAATTGCCTTATAAATGTATAGAAAAAGTTATTTTCTAGAACTATGAGGATTTTACCATACATAAATATAGATTTAAAATACAAAATTAAGTCATTAACATAAAGAAATGCTCCTATATAGTGCATACAACAAAATAGGCAGTGGTTATTGCATCTTAGCACTCATCACCAAGGATAAAATGAAGTTATTGGCCTCCAGATATTGTCTTTACCCAGCTTAAAAGACTGCTCAGCCATAATATATTGATGTCTCTTCGAAAGTCTTTCTCTATATCACCAAATCACTGAACAATTTTCGGTGCAAGTTGGTATTTCAAAATCTACATAGCAAAAAAAATTACTGCTCTTGATTCTGAATACAACAACAACAGCAGTAAAGCCGTAAGTCCCAACTATTTGGGGATGGCCATATGGATATTTTACCATCATTGAGATATATAAAAAATTATATATTTAACTAAATTACTTAAATCTTTATTTATAATTTCTATTAAAAAATTTTTAGGTCTTCCTCTATCTTTCTTCGTACCACTAACATTAATTATCTCACTTCTTTTGGTTGTCGCATCCGAAGTCTCCTAAGCACATGCCCACACCATTTAAAATGATTTTATCTCATCTTATTGAAGCGATACATAGTTGTCCACGAATAAAAATATATTTGACATTTTTTATTCTGAATGAAGTCAAGATTTGGCATATTTTTCAAATTCAATATATAGACACATCACACCAAGTATTTAAAGCTATGCTTGCCATAGCTTTCCAAAGACTACGTAGGGATGCACTTTTTTCTTAGGAGTCAAAGTTTGATATTACTAACTTGTATACAGTTGATGCGAGGATCATTTGTCTCCATTATCGATGTTGTATATCCAAAAAGTATCTTAGTAAATGAAACAATTAATTTTCATTATGTTTTCTTACATTTACAACTAGCTGCAAATATTCTCTATGGGTTCTACATAGATAGGATTAGCAGCTATAATAAAACTATCCTAGAAATTAAATTTTACAAAAGATATGATCAACATTAATTGACATTGAAACCTTGTGAAAATAACATGTTGACATCACCTAAATCAGACTTACAATATTCTGCATCAGCCATCAGCATCACGTGAGGCCGGTTTATTCATCATCAGATTTGTGTTCAAAATCAAAACAAACTTTGCATAGATATTATCTAATTTGAAAACCAAATGAAGTCAAATTATTGTCTCACACTGCATGATGTATAGGGAGTTGCAATGGCACAAAGCAGTCACTTCAACAGTACAGCAATATATTGTCTTTCCAACAAGCAGAAAAAACCATACTACCAGCACAACTGATAGGCCAACCAATTGCAGAACAGTTATATTTCATATTCTCATAGAAGATTTGTAAAGTAGTACGTAATATCATTAATAGAGTAATGATTAATCTGTGCCTGTGAGAGTTATACTACTTGCAGTTTAAAGAGAGAAATATTTCCATCCATCAAGTGTTCTCCATTGTTAGTTTGACATCTAGTGTCTGGGGTACCATAGGGGGACAATAAGTTGTGAAATGACCAATAATAATTAAGCTCTCAATGTACAGTAAGAATCATATTCTACAGTCCAACCATGTGTCATCACCTCATGGATCGGGGTTCAAGGGGATTAAATATTCAAAATTTTGGTGCTCAACATTATGCTGAAGAAAGAACTAGATACTACGATGTTCAGAAACATATTCATATACAGTAAAGATAACTAATTTCAATATGTAAAGCATGATCATAGTACAACAGTCTGGTTCCCATATATATAATTATCTTGGTCAGCAATTAAAGTAATGAAAAAATGGAAAAACGAGAAGCAAAAAGAATTTGAGCAGGTCACTTATAGATAACCTTGTTCGAATGGACAACGAGCTGGATCTTCGCCAAAATACTGAGATAAAGAATCTGCATTTCTTCCCTGAAACAATATAATATTTAGGAGAATCAAAATTGAAAGAACCTACCAATTGATTACAATCAAACAATTAACAAAAATAACTCACCACTTCAGAATATAATGATGTCAGGGACCTAACATCAGCTTCAGCAGTATGAAGGAAACCTTTCAAGGCCTAAAAATGCGATAATGGGATTTTCAGAACATGTGTTCAACTTGTCACATATAATTCACAAGAATGTCTGGCAGAACAGAAGGACGAAACAAAATGGAAAAGGACAATGCAGTTCCTAGAACAGGCCACTTATGAGCCAAGTCATAACTGTTAAGAATCCTAACAATTGGTTATTTGCTTCAATAGGTAGGAAGCCCAGAAAACAAAGGGTAGAAGCACAAATGCAAAAGTCAGAAATCTGCATCATTTCAGACAGAGATCATAAACAACTTTTAAAAATTCCATGATTCAATAATCATTAGCTAGTATAAATACATTGGAACGAAGTCTCATGCACCATGTCATTATACGGTTTAGGGCTATGATATTATGAGATTATACATGTTTTTAGAAATATGGTTGCATTAAACTTTTTACTTCAGTTTTAACCATTAAGTTTCATTTGTGTAGCATACACCAAACCAAAACCCTAAAATCAATCATTTATAGAATGTTAAAATAATACTAGCAGGTACCATATGAGTCAGCTCCATAATGAATGCAACAGTGCAAGCAAGAATGAAAATTTTCGGTACCCTGAAGTTTCAAATGAAGTTATTGAAGGCTCAAGGCATATACTCAAGGTATCAAGATCACTAGAGCCTGGTCACAATACAAACTATGTTACATTGACCCTCCCAAAATCCCGTATGGACAAGAGCCTTGTGGATTTAGCAGCCTTTTTCTTATGTTGCCCAGGATCTGCTTTAGATTTCTTAATTTTGTAAAGAGATCAGATTTAGAAGAAACTAATAATGAAAATTATACTAGTGTAATCCTTAATAAAAGATGGCCAATGACTGTTTTGTTGTGAATCTCCTTGAATTAATTTGCACATTGGTTCACTTTGACCAAAAATGGAGTCATAGATTCCATAGTCAATTATACCAGTACCTGTCAATGCAGTGGAATTTTCACTGGTCTGACAGCTAACCAGTACAAAGATCGGGCAATTTGTGTTGTTTGCAATCCGGTTATCTTGCTCTTTTTGTTAGTGAAGGTAGCATATTACAGCTTGTTTGCCTTTCTAATTTTTTCTACTCTATTTGTATGTCAACTATACATGAACCTTGCAAACATATATCGTTTGGGTGGTGCACATTTTAGACAATCCCATTTAAGGATGTGACAAAGCATTATGCTTCCCAGTTCCTATATCCTCCACACACAACACACACACCCCCCTCCCCTCTCGCCCCCCATCTTTTCTTTTTCTTCCTCTTCTTCGGTTGCTCTGCTTCAACCTGCCAACTCCTCTCCAACACCACCGCTCCTCCTATGCCTCTTACACCTACTCCCCTCTCACTTTCACTTTTCCTCTCTGTGCTGGTCCATCCAGTACTAACCTAAACCATTATTCAGCATACTGTACAACAATAGTCCTATGCTGGTTCGGCTGACAATTCTATCATTATCAGACAATATTTTAACCTATACATGGAGTAATTCTACTGTTTGAAATATCTACAAAATTACATTGGCCTCAAAAAACAGTGGTCTCTCCATGACCCGAATATCTGGACTAATATTTTTCACAAACTAATTAGAAAATAGAAACATAAGAAAACAGTCATGTGAGCTCTTGCTCATATATTATATACCATTCTAAAGCCCACGGAGATATCACCATCACTTTCTGATGCAGTGAGCTCTTGCTCAACCTTTTCAAGACCCTTACTCACAGCTTGCATCTCTTCTGCTACCAATTTCAATTGAATCTGGTTTTAGTTAAAAAAAAAAAAAGAAGAAGAGTTACTACAAAAGAATCTAGGATCATAAACACTAAAACCATTTATTGCAAGGTCACAAAAACAAGAACTTCTTACCAAAGTGCAATATGGTCATACCTTGGAGGCTGCTTCCAAATGAATCAAGTCCTTATCAAAATCAAGCAACTCTGGCATTTTCTCTGCAAGGAGCTACATATGATATCAAAATTTTAAGTTAAGTGCCATGAATTTGCTTCTTCCTTAACAGAATTGAAATTCCTGAATATGTTAAAGAACTGGATGAAAGAAGTCAAATTTCATTTGAGTTCTACAATTGGCAGGCAAAATTAAATTAAATAACAGCAAACATCACAATCAAAATTATTGTAAGACCTGTTATTGCACAACCTATGATATGATCTTAGTAGGAAAGGTATAAAAAATGCCAGACATACCAGCTTAGTCATGTTGTAACAAGTTATTACAGATAACCACTAAGAAGTTTACCAATAACTCAAATATAATGCATTTGAAAATATATGCATTGCATTCACCTAACTGAGCAATCATTACGGTACCTGGAGAAAAAATGACCTCAGAAACTAGTGACCTAAGTGATGTAATGTTAACTACATAAAACAAAATCAAAATTATATTATTGTAAAAAAAAAACACATAATACTCAACAGAAAGTTTAGTGGTGAGCGGTGCGCAGAAATAAGGTAGGCAACGATGGCAGAAATGGGCTACGCATGTTGAGATGGCCAAATCATGAGCACTAATTGAATCAGCAGAAGTTGTCTATTTTTTTTTTTAATTAGACAGGGCTGGACCACTCGAAATGAGGATGGTCTATGTATCAGTCCATGTCCAAACCGGTAAATACCGATCGGTACCGACTGGTCCGAGCAAAATTGCAATCCTTGATTGTTAAAACAAAGAACTGATGCAAAAGGGAATTGGGCAATCTACTAAAAAAAGCTAAAAATTTTCTAGCCATAAATTGAAATTTTTCATTGACAAAATCATCTCAGATTTCAATTGCAAATCCTGGTGAAACTTGGTAGGTACATTAAAAACTTACTCCACAAGTTTGTTATAACATAGACAATCTCATAATAATGAACTCAACGAAAGGAAAAACATTAGAAATTGGATGCAAAGGCAGATATTTTCCAACAAAGTTGGGTCAAATCATTTAAAGATAAAAGGCTAATAGGCAACCATTGTAAGCAATTTAAATTTTTTGTACCAATCAGACAGATCATATGTATGTTACGTTAGTAAGAAAGACATCGAATTTTAAGTAAATACCTTGCATAAATAATGCATCAAGGTCATTTTATTATTTCTCGCACGAGTATCTGATAATTTAAGAAGGCTATCTAGCCTAAATCCCACAGCAGAGCCTGTCAAAAAAAGAAAGTAAATCTCCATTGACAGTAAAAATCATCGAGGGGGTTTAGCATTGGAACATTACCTCGAGCAGTGCCCTGATTTAATGCATTTCCTAATGTAAGAATAGTCTGCATTACTTGCCGCAACTTCAAAGACTCTTTTACCTATGATGCAGAATAATACCTCAATCCAACATAATAAAAAACAGCACTCTTAATTTCATGACTGCTAGAATTAAACCTACCTCTCTAGATGCATCATTGATTGCATTCAAGTTTGTTCGCAACTCGTTCACCTGTTGTTTATAAACAGTGTTATGCTCATGATAGAACAAAAATATTATGCCGTGGCAGCAAATCTGGGAAGACAATAGAGAAAAAAACCTGAGTGGAAAAGGTAATTCTAAAAGAGAAAACTCTTAATTTGGACTCCACTCGAGGGACCTTCATCAGCTCCAGAAAGAACTAGAAAAATTATTGATGAGCTGTACTTAGTAACCATGAAAATTGGGATAGAACATGTGTGCTTGGGTCTTTGCAAACCTGCTCACATCTCCCTAGCATTTCTTTATTGCCAGTGTAGTTCTGAGAAATTAAGAAAAATGAAAAAAAATGGAAAAAAAATGGAAGCATGAGATTAACCAGCAAACATAAAGATAACAAAATAAAAAAAAATACTAACTCACTTAGTCAATTCCAAAACATTGTAAAAGAACCATCTGGCAAAGTTATGAATTTATCAATGGCAAAATTAAGCTAACACAACCAACATGGCAGTAGCAGCATTAAAATCTTAAGTGAAACAAGAAACTAAAACTCAATGACATAAAGAGAAGTCGTAAAAATGGTACATGAAGTTAAGTGGTTGTGATGCCACATCTGATGGTTCTCTTTATAGCTCCAAAAGATTCTTATAGATGTCTAAGAAGTCAGAAGTTGTACTTTCTTATGTATCAGGAGTGAATAGATTCACGGTTTGTTAGGACTCTAGCTAGGAGAGTCCTAATTGAGAGGGGCATTCATTTAAAACCTACCTAAGCCAACCCCTATTAAAGAGGTGAAGAGGCCGGCTAGGGTTAGGAGGTTGCTTCTTAGAGAAGAATTAGGAGTTGTAAAGGAATAGGAGTCTTGAGTAGAAGTCATATTAGGAGTTTGTTAGAAGAAGGAATCTTGAGTAGGAGTCATATTAGGAGTTAGGGTTTAGAAACCCTATAAATAGCTATGTATTCCTCCTCTTTTGATAAGCAATAGATGAATCTTTTATGCAGCCTTTGAGCAGCAACTTGGAGGGAGGAACCCCTATAGAGTTCCAAGGAGGCCGATCTCCTAAAGAAATCAACCCCAAGTTTAGAATCTGCAAGGGTTCTAACACTTGGTATCAGAGCAGCGTTCTTGGCATCTCGCTGCCCTTCCACTGCCATCCATCAGCCCTCCACAACCGCCCAAAGCAATTCCCACAATTGCTTAAAAGATCGTCGTCGAATTCCGCCATCATCTCCACCACCGCGGATCATCCTTTGATCTCCCCGTGAATTGCAACAGGTTCTGGTTTCCTACCTTACTGCTGCTGCAATTTAGTTATCCTTATTCGAAAATCCAAAAAAAAAAACTGTTCCTATATTGCTGCATAAACTTTTCGTCACAAAGTTTTCATCTCTACGACGAAAGATACATTGCAGAATTCCAGCCGCATAGCACCATCTGTTTGATCTTGCTACTATGCTTTTTCTATCAAAATTTCTACGAAATTTTTATGACATCTTTGACACTTCCTAACAGCAGATTTCTTTTTGGTTTTTTTCAAAAAATTCTCAATATAAACCATTGATCTTTTACATCTAATCTGCTATACTTGAAAATCTGCACTATAAAATTTCAGCCGCATAACACTGTTTGTTTGATCTTGATACAATATTTTTTCTATCCAAATCTCTATGAAATTTTTATGATAGCTTTGACACTTCCTAACAATGGATTTTCCTTTGGTTTTATCGAAAAATTCTCAATGTAAACTACTGATCTTTTATGTCCAATCTGCTACACTTGAAAATCTGTGCTGCAGAAAATTTCAACCGCATATTGTTGCCTTAACCCATCTATTTGCAATCTTTTTTGAATGAAATTTCTTATACACTTCATAAATCATCTTTATTTCCATCTAAGATTGATCTATAGAGGAATTCATCTCTAAAACTGATTTTGTGTTTCTGTAAATTTTCGTCCCAAACCGCTGAAATTTTCCGATAAGAATTCTGCTATCGCAGCTTGCACCAATTTCCTTGCTATTATATTGCCAAAATTTTCTTGATTAAAATAGAGATCCTTGCTGCCATATAAACTGTGATTTTGCTGTCAATTCCCTCCTCAAATCTCTCAAGTTTTTGGTGGAAATTTCATTGAGAAACTGCTATTTCTTCAACGACAATTCTACTCTTACAAGACAACACATACTTGCTGCAACTTCCACTGATTTCTTTCAAACCTTTGCTACCATCTACCACAGATCCAAAACTTTCATCCACAGCCCTAAAACTCCACCAAACCACACCCTCAAGCTGCACCCAAAATAGCCACAAAACAAGCCTAAACCGTAGCCTACATCCACCAATCCACCAACCCTTTCGACCATCACCTCTCTCAACCAATACATGTCTTTAACCCGACAACAAAAGAGAGATCTTAACATCACAGATTTAGCGGCATATACTATGACATCTGAGGAGGTAATCAATGCTAAATTCGAAGCCTTCGAGGCGCGAATGGAGGATAAGATTCGGACGCTCTTTACCGAACTCAGATTGGGCCGACCACTAAGCCCGAAGAAATCACATCAAGAAGAGAGCTTTGCCCAATCACACCAAGCTCGAAGATATGACTTCCAAGAGAGGGGAAGCTCTATGACCAACCCCAACTATCCATGCATGAGAGTGGACTTCCCTAGATGGGAAGGAGACCCGATTGGTTGGATCTCGCGCGCGGAGCGATATTTTCGGTACCACAAAACCGCGGATGCATCTATGGTGAAAATTGCAGCTATACATCTTGAAGGGGATGCTATACAGTGGTTTGACTGGTTTGAACATACTTATGGAGTCCTTTCATGGCGACAATTCAAAGGACTGCTGATCCGCTTCAAACCAACCGATTACGAGAATATTGACGGACAACTAGCAAAGATCCGACAAACCTCCACCATTCAGGAGTACCAAATCAGGTTTGAAAGGTTATCTAATCAAACTCATGATTGGTCTCAAAAACAGCTATTGAGGACCTTCATTGAGGGCTTGAAGCCGAAGATTCAAGGAGAAGTTAAAGCGCGACAACCGTATACGCTTATGGCAGCCATTTCTTTCGCACGACATCAAGAAGAGCAATTGAACCATGAAGCTCGGAGGACTAGGGTCGCTCCTCAACCAGCAATATTAAAGCCCTCAGCCCCCCCTACTGTCGACCAAGTCCCTACACCAAAGAGGTTAACAAGAGAAGAGCTTCGAGAGCGATATGCGAAGGGGTTATGTTGGCATTGCGACGAGCCATGGAGCCGTGAGCATCGCTGTAGTAAAGGGAGACTTCTTATGATTGAACCAATAGAAGAAAAGGTCATTGAACATCCAGAAGAGAGCCTTGAACATGAAGAAGAAGATGCAGAAGAAGAGCCACAACCGACCAAAGTTACGGTACATACACTAGCCGGCTACTCAAACCCGCAAACGATGAAAGTTGAAGGCCTTCTCAAACATCAACCGATCATTATTCTCAACGACACGGGCAGTACTAATAACTTTCTAAACAGTAAGATTGCTGTCCAGATGGCCTTACCTATCGAGAATTGCAGCAGGTTTGACATTAAGGTCACCAATGGATGGATTTTGAAGTATGATCGTAGGCGCCCGTAAGTGAAACTGTTGCTGATCATGAGGCCTTACCAAGAGATAATTGCATATTTCTTCCTTCTCCCTCTTGATGATAATGAGGCCATTCTCAAAATTAAATGGTTGACGACATTATGTGATATTTCTTGGAATTTTATGCAACTAATTATGAAATTTTACAGTAAGGAGAAACAGGTGATACTGAACGGGAAACATGGGGGCGACATAACGACGATTTGCATACAACAAATGGAGAAGGTTTTGCATAAAGCATGCAGCGGCTTTTTGGCACAACTTGAGCAGCAAACTAAGGGAGAGCCAATAGAATTTGAAGATTCAAACCTACTTCCTTTGCTTGCTGAATTTTCAGATATATTTGACGAACCGCACAACCTACCTCTTTCCCGTTGGTATGATCATTATATAACGATTCTTTCAGGCAAACCTCCAGCAAATACTCGGCCATATCAGTATCTACATCTCCAGAAGGATGAAATATAAAGGATTATAAAAGAGATACTCGAAACAGGAGTTATTCGGCCAAGTTGCAACCTCTACTCTTCACCAGTGCTACTTATACGTAAGAAGGACGAAACATGGCAAATATACGTTGATTATCGAGCTCTCAATGGCATAACCATCAAGGATAAATACCCTATTCCAATAGTAGATGAATTGCTGGATGAAAGGGAGCACAAATCTTCACAAAGCTGGACCTTTGATCCGGGTATCATCAAATACGAGTGTACGAAGAAGTCATATCGAAAACCGCCTTTCGAATACACAACAGCCACTACGAATTTTTGCTTTCATCAACAAAAGGTGGAATATCTTGGGCATATCATATCAGAGAAAGGTGTGACGGTGGATCCCTTCAAAATTGGAGCAATGCAAAACTGGCCTACCCCAAGGAACATAAAATTGCTACATGGCTTTCTGGGTTTAACAGGCTACTACCATAAGTTCGTGAAAAACTATGGAAAGATCAGTACACCACTCACTTCTTTAATGAAAAATGATACCTTCCAATGGTCGGACAAAGCCTCCGCTGCCTTCGACAAACTTAAGGCAGCCATGACGACGATGCGGGTGCTAACGCTACCAGATTTCAACCGACCCTTCATCATTGAGGCCGATGCATCTGGAGACAGAATGGGAGATGTTCTCATGCAAGATGGTCGACCACTCACATACATTAGTAAGGCATTATCTCCCCCCTATCAAAATATATTAACATATGATAAGGAGATGCTCGCCATTGTACACGCAGCAACGAGGTGGAGATCGTACTTGATCAAGCGATGCTTTCAAAGCAAGACCGACCATAAAAGCCTAAAATATCTCTTGGAGCAGAAGATATCTTCCCCCGAGCAGCAAAAATGGGTAACAAAGGTTCTTGGATATGATTATGAAATAATTTACAAAAAGAGGAAAGAGAATGTTGTTGCAGATACGCTTTTACGACTACCTAAGCAAGCTGAATTTTTGGCCATTTCACTTTCGACTAGTGACTTCCTTGAGGATATTAAAATGGAATGGCAAAAAGATTCGGAGACCAGTAAGATCATAAAAAAATTGGAGGAAGCACCAAGCTCCGTGGCTCATTACAATTGGGACTCAAAAGAATTACACTATAAGGGACGCATTGTGCTTATGATAAATTCTACTTGCATCTTCACGAGCAGATTTTGGACAAGGTTATTCCATATGCAGGGTACTAAATTGAAAAGGAGTACGGTATATCACCCACAAACCGATGGTCAAACGGAAGTTGTAAATAGGTGCTTGGAGACAGCCCAAAGCCACCCACCAAATATGACTACCCAATGAGAACTTCAGACCCAGCCAAGTGCCATTATTGATCGATGGATCGTAACTCGACGACGACGACCCACTACTGAAGTGCTAATACAGTGGGCAAACCTACTAACAGAAGATGCCACTTGGGAGAACTATTACGACTTGAAGATCAAATTTCCAAAATTCATGAATCGTCTGCCTCGAGGACAAGGCTGATTTGAAGAGGGCGGGTCTGTTAGGACTCTAGCTAGGAGAGTCCTAATTGAGAGGGACATTCATGTAAAACATACCTAAGCCGACCCCTATTAAAGAGGTGAAGAGGTCGGCTAGGGTTAGGAGGTTGCTTCTTAGAAAAGAATTAGGAGTTGTAAAGGAATAGGAGTCTTGAGTAGAAGTCCTATTAGGAGTTTGTTAGAAGTAGGAATCTTGAGTAGGAGTCCTATTAGGAGTTAGGGTTTAGAAACCCTATAAATAGCCATGTATTCCTCCTCTTTTGATAAGCAATAGATGAATCTTTTCTGCAGCCTTTGAGCAGCAACTTGGAGGGAGGAACCCCTATAGAGTTCCAAGGAGGTCGATCCCCTAAAGAGATCAACCCCAAGTTTAGAATCTGCAAGGGTTCTAACACGGTTCCACTCAATTCAGGGAACAAGCTACATAATTGGCTATTATCACTTTGACAGGCTAGCACAATGCCAATAAATTATGGCTGCAAACTTCCATATCATTCAAAAGCTTGATGAGTTCTATCAATTGAAGGTATGCCACCCTTGATATCCATCAGAAACATATAACGAGGCATAAACAGGGCAATCTGGTTTAGTGCTCTAGGAACAAACTTCTGATCGTGCATGAGGATATAACTAACAAACCAATCAGCAATCTGAATATGTAAAAAACCCGTGGAGCAGCAAATTTCCTTTATTAAATGAACCACTATGGAAGTGGCAACTCATTGGTTACAGGAGCCTAGAAGATGTCTCAAACATTGGTTACAACTTCGTGAGAACCGATTATTGAGTTCTCTCATTCGGTAAACCTTAAGAAAAATCATATTAAAATGATAACTAGCACAACAACTCATACACATTCTCTGAACTTTATGGCTTCCAGTAAATTTTACAGCACGGGAAGTTGATCTACTGTGTCAGACGAAACTTATTTTGATGATTTAATTAGATCTAGATATAGCTTGTCATTGTGATATAAAAGAGTGATTGCATGCATAAGCAAAATGTGATAGGAAGTGTTTTATAGCTACATAATGGAAATCAATCTACCACCCAAGTAAAGCACACCCCTTTTCTTTATTGATAAAGATAAGCAATCTAAGCCCTTGAGGGATAAGATATTAGATAAACTAGGCTTTGGATAAGATTGTAGGAATCCTTATCTGTGAACATGACTCTGTTCTGGAAAAGGAAATAAGGTTAAAAAATCACATTAGAAAAATGAGAGACCACAAGCAAATAATTTTCTTAAAGTTGCACTCCTTTTCATAATTAAACCTCAAAAATCCTAAAAAATACTTTAGCTAATTAAACATATCAGCAGAAATGAAAATACAGTCAGATGCAAAGAAAAGGTACAGTTACTTGTAAAAATCTTCAAATTAAGCAAGACAATTATCCTCGAGCTCACAGCTCCCATAATTAAATTTGAGGCTTTACCTTTAACATTTCCATTTCTTCTTTTGTAGGACAAAATTTGATGAGATTCTCCACTTGGTCAATTTCCAAAACTGAGGTATCCAGAGCTAAAACTGCATGCTGGAGATAAAGAAGTTTAAGGAATTATGCACTAGAATTGATAGTTAATCATGCAACTAAGACCGAAAAAACAATTAACTTATATGTTTCCAGAGAACCCGACTTGTGGTTTGGTGAACTCTATGAGCTTCCACTTGAGGTAGGAAAAACCAATATCCATGTTTCAACTTGAAAACATTATAAAACACATGCTTTATTAGAGTATGGACATAGGTGCCAGCAGAAACCTACATGTGGTGGAGTGAGCTAGCGGTGATCCACATAGTATGCATGTGAACCACATGTATCTCCTTAAACTTTTGCCATATACGGGAAGCCAGTGAGCAAGCCCTAATCAAGCTATACTCGATAAAGCAAGAAAATGATGACTGTAAGTTCTAAATTCTCAAAAAGGTCAATCCATCTTACACATACAACTTCTACACTGAAGATGACGACAATAAACTTGTCCTACTTAATAACTTCCAGTCTACATTACCTTGCTACTAATTTACAAACCTCGTCCAAAGCATAAAACACCACCAGCAAGTTATCAAGGAGCACATGAACCCTTATGGGATCATCCTGAGGTCATTGTACAACTCAGAAGCAAAAACATATTTCATAATGCCAAAAAGCCTATGTTCAGAACCAGTTGAACGAAAATGAGTGGCCAAATAAAACTGATACTACCCAGCTTCCTCAAATAATGAACTGTCACCATTACAATGAATATATTTTCAGGAAGTAACCAAAATTTTTGCGCCAATTAGCCATCTAGCATAATGAATACATCAATTTCCTTAAATTGATGACAGCATAACTAAAACTTCAACACCAAGTAGTAGATAGACGACCTCCAAAGTAAAATAAACAAAGATATCATGAATCTTAACCATTATCTCCTATCAACACAGCATAACTAAAACTTCAACACCAAGTAGTAGATAGACGACCTCCAAAGTAAAATAAACAAAGATATCATGAATCTTAACCATTATCTCCTATCAACATATACTGATGTCATAACAAATGAATACATGGTTGCTGTAACCTACATAGCCAATAATGTGATAATAAAATTAAGAAGATTCTGGATGCTGAAAACTAATTAGGCAAATGCAACATGGCCATAATGATGAACAATAATCTAAACTCTTCGATGTCCTGAGCTGCTCTTGTACTCTGCACCAGCTATGAAGAGTGTGATGTATGACTGGTTAGAATTAAAATTATATTGTACACAGTGATATCACTAATCTTCACAGTTGAACACATCTAATTAATCCACATATCCAGTTATATGACACAACCTTCTAAGGGTAAATTGAATTGCAAACAATTTCAGACATTTCTGTCCTCTTAGCATCTCTCTAACTAAATATAATTAATTATATAGTTTCATGTTCTATGACTAGCTAAACCCCACATTTTCTGACACTAGGTTTCCCCAGCTTATCTCCACCCTATGTGGCCGTCTACATGCAGTTAACACTGTCGTACTCCATCAGCATAGATGAATAGATTGACACAAAACAGGCAAAGGAGCCAACCTATGATACATGAAGACAAAATTTTATATCAAGTTTCTCAGTATTTTCTAAAAATGAGAACAAAAAAATACGTATCATTTTTTCAGCCAAATTACATACCACAAATGATAAGATTAGTGTGAACTAACTGTATATCCAGGTTCCAGTTCTCAAGAACATCTGCAGAAATCGAGAATTTTCAGGGCCAAGTAACTCCCACCCGAAGAATTGGTCAACAGCAATTCCTGAGCAAACTTAAAATCATCCCCAGAAGTCATATTTATCCTGCTGATGTTGAATGATTTGATAAAACTTAGCCTATTCATCAATCCCAGGCCAATCCTAAGCCAATTTTCACCAGAAATGTTTAATTTCTGTTTACCAAGATCTTAGACTTATCATGGCAATTCATGCCAATACTTGTACAATAATCCAGATCTGTCAAGGTGCAGACCAAAGAAAGCCATAACCACCCAGTTCTTATTCAATAATCCGGTTCAACCAACCTACTTTAATTTCGATCCCAGATCCAATCTTGATCTTCAAAACCCTACTTAAAACAAATACATTAGATTGCGTCTGTTGTCTGATCCAATCCTCCAACTCATACAGTGAGCATGAATATTTGGATTATTTCCTATGATGTCTTTAAGATCTACTAAGAACCAAAGTTGATTTTTAAATTTTCATGCCAAGGGGAGTCAATACTGAAAAAAAATTAAATTTTATAGAATTAGTCCTTATCCTGAATTATGAATGGAAACTCAGAACAAAGCATTTCAGGAACTATATATGAAAGGAGAGGAAATGGAAATTATATAGTGAGGTTACCCCCTAGATATCAAAATTGGACTGAATGTACATTTATAAACATGAAGTCATACCACTAAAGAAAGCCAAACAAACATTGAACTTGCAAAAACTTAATTTATCGTAATAAATGAAACAAGACATGAAGACATATAAAAGATCAGAGAAATTGTAATGTTATAGACTAACAATAAAATAGGTAAACAGTCACTCAAAGGCATATTACTAAAAAAAAAAAAACATATTACTAGATAAACAAGGAAAAAAAAGAACTCACAATCATATCAGGAAGCGGCATCTTGATTTTTGTAAGCATAATCTCACAATTATTTGCTCTACGCATGTCGATCTAGTAACAAAAGAGAGAGAAAAAAAAGATCCATCATCAAAGTTGCAACAAAAAATATGTTGTGGATTTAAGTGCCACCTCTATGCTATGTATGCAAACCATTGACTACTTACAGGAGATTCAAAAGGCATGAGATATGCCACATGGTTACATGTCATTATGTAAAATTTGATTAGTTGCAATGCAGATACTCTGCATTAACCATGCACGAGTGTTTATCATAATAGTATCATGAAGAACTGAGTAAAAGTGGAAAATGTAGCACCCTACTCTAGAAATACTCGTATAATGTGATATCAATAACATTTCCCTGTTAATTCATCTATTTTTGTAAAATAGCTGACAGTTTTTTTTAATGCAAAATGTCAACTGTACGAAAATGTCCATCAAAGAGAGCTAAGTGCCAAAGAAAGAACTGAAGATCAAAGGGAGCTATATAAAAGCAAGAAATCATTTTCTAAGTGTTATTAGGCAGTGCCATCAATTTTTGAAAATTTATCCATAGTCATGTCTCTTTTAGCAACAAACTTCCTTTTAACATAACAACAGTGTTAACCTACAAAAACCAATATAACATAGAAGATATCTTTAAAAAAAACAGAAGTTTCTTTTTGATAAGGGTAATTGAATACATTTAAACAAAGATTAAGATACAAGGCCACAATTCAGAATCAGAAAAGAAAATTTACAATTTGGGGGTGATGAAATGGTCAAAAAGATTAAGTAACTCAATGGAATTACAGAATTTACAATCATACTTATATAGACTAATTAGAAAATATTAAGATAATACAATTACTCAGTATATTGTAGAAGAAGCTAAAGACCTAGGCCTAATAACCATCATCTAAGCACATAGAGGAGTCATAAATACATGCATACACAGTATGCATAAACAAAGCACATATTTGTAAGTTGTAGTTGCATGTACCTCCTAATAAGGTTACCAATAGTTTTTGCAGGCTTCTAGAATTCCAGTCATCCTCTGCCTCTTCCAGTGGGGATAAGGCCTTTTTCAAGCCCCTTATCCTCAACAATGGTTATACATCAAAAGCTATCTAAAGTTGTCCAATTGCTATAGTCCACCTTGCCTAATAAAACAGTGTGCAACGAGAATGGTCTTGTAGCAATTTGAGAGAATTGTAGCCCCATTTGCAGTAGATATTCTCCTTGAAAATAGATGTATCAAATATATGGGCATTAGGCTTACACTTGGATACAGCTTAGCACAATTGTTTATTGGACAGTATACCTGGTATTGAACCAAATTATGCAAACATGCCTGTTGACCATACTCGTTGATCATCAGGCTAGTAAATACCAGTTTGTACCAACTGATGCAGTCGGTTTTAAAATCCTTGCTTGAGACACTTATTAGTGTACTTGACATTTTCACACTAATTGGAACTTCATATCTCTAGAATATATCCATATTCCATCCTAATTAAATTTTAATGACAGCCTTTTGTTGTATAGTTCCTGAACTTCTATCAACATCCCTGTTCTTCATCAGTTTGTTTAGTATTCAACAGTATGACACTAAGAATACTCAAACTTTAACCACATATTCTAGTTCCGTTCAGTTTCACTTTGTTGCAACTTCAAGTTTTACTGCCATTTTATAGATCAGGTGTTTAAGTAATAGAACATGTGATGTCCCAACCACAAATAGAACATGTCCCGACCACATAAAACTAAATTGTTCACATCAGGTATCCACCCAAGCGATGTTAGCATCAGATTATTCATTTTGACATCTGCATCAACATATTAAGTGCATGTTGACATTTTTTTTTTTTTTTGCATATTTGTTTTACATTTTTAAATTTAGAACTCACACACGGATACATATATATTGATCTATCGGCACACATGTTTATGTAGTACATATTTGCATCAGTATATGTATTCACATATGCAAACATATAAAATTTTGCACGAGTACATGCATAAAGTAACGAAAATCCTACAACTAGATGAAGCTCATGCCCTATGGTTTATCTGCTGCTTTATGACCATGTGAGTTCTTTTCTAAATCCCTATGCAATATAAAGCCCCTATATTGTGTACATGCTTTTATACCCATAAATTTCAATGAGAAATACAAATAATGTTCTTTTTGTCAAAAGGAAAAACACAAAATTCAAGTGTGATCAGTTTCCACAAAATGAAAAGTTGGGTATAAGATTAATAGTCCAAAAAAACAAAAAAAAAACATTGTGGTTGAGAATTATTATAGAAAAAATATTTAAATGATTACATGTGATTCTGTTTTTGTTGCAGGGAATGCAATTTTGGCTCTGCACATGCCCAGATAATCCAAATGCAAATTTATACTTTCTATTGTGAACCATACACAATCATACATGTACATTCATCATGATTTTGGACGGCATGAACTGACAGACCTCATAAAACAACATAACCATAAAAAAAATTTTGTAGCTAAAACACAAAAATAGACACAACAGCCATGCTTTACACAGTTTTTAGCAATTTAAACAAATTTTCTAGGAAATATAATTTAAAATTAATATATTTGCAAATGGATCAAACAGCATTTCGTTCCTAAATTAATTCTTTAACCACAATGACTGCAATGATAGAGCAGCATGAAATAAAAATATGGAGAATGAAGTTGAAAGCAGTATTTAAAGCATTGTCTTCCATTGACATGTAGTGCCTTTCTTTAAGATCAAATAACTGTGAAATACCAAGGAAAAAAAAAAGTCAAGTACCAGGTGAACTATTTCAGGCTTGGTGGTGCTAGTACCACGTCGAGCTCCACTTTTATCCCGGCCACTCTCATGAGAAGCAGTTGTGGTTGAGAAAAGACTTTCTAGTTCAGAGAGATCTATCTCGGGAGCCCTATCAAGAAGGTTAAGAATACATGAGATTTCAAACTTGAGAAGAATCAGTTTGTTTACAGGGCAGATGATAAAGCAGCTCAACATATGCAAGTGAACCAAAATAATATCTATCTTTCAGGCCTTAATAATTAACTCATCAGAAGAATTTTGTGTTAGTCAAGATTCATCCCACCAAGACACTAAAGTTACAGTAAGTACAGAACCCTTACCACTGCAAACATATATAAAACCTAGAGTACATTTATATGGTTGGAACAAATATGTTGAATAAGGTTAAAACAACATTCAGGCCTTTGGATTATTGTCGTGGCCACCAGGCTTTTTAATAAATCATGGACTGTAATAGATTTTTTATCTGGCAGATACCTGGATTGATTTTCTTGCTTCTGAGAATCAGCCCAGAGACTTCCTTGCATTGCTCGTGTAACCTTCACCCAATGCAATGGCTTTAATGGAGTTTTCTTTGGTGGAATAGACTGCAAAGATCCACGACCCTTCCCTGAACTAGAAGCAATCAATCTACCTCTTCCTGATGCTGGAGCAGGGGGTGCTAATGTATTTAGATCTTTTAGTCCAGGAGGTTGTGGTGGCGCTGGCACTCCATGGCTTCCCCCTTGTAAGGGTGGTGGAAGGGGCACAAGTCCAGGAGGCTTCAGTGCTTGAGGAGGTGGTGGTGGAGGCATACCTTTGCTGCCAAACGACGGAGGAGGAGGTGGGCCTGGAGCATTTCCCCTTCCATTTTTCAATGGTGGAGGAGGTGGTTGTGGGACAGCATGAACAGTACCATGATCAATGTGACTTAAACTCGATGAAGGAGGCGGAGGTGGAGGCGGAGGTGGTGGGCTCCTATTAGATGCAGCAGTCACAGGAAATGAGGGAGGAGGGGAAAGGAAAGAACCCTTATTTGATTTAGTGCTAGGAGGTGGGGGTGGGGGTGGGGGTGGAGGTTGAGGAGGATTAGGAGGTGCATGACTTTTACCAGGTGTGGAGAAGGGAGGTGGTGGAGGAGGCGGAGGAAGAGCGTTACCGGACATGGTGGAGAAAGGTGGTGGAGGAGAAGGTACTGAAGGACTCCTACTAGTTATGGTGGAAGGAGGCGGAGGAGGAGGTGGTGGTGGAGGACCTCTACCAGATATGGTGGAGGGAGGAGGAAGGGGAGACGGTGGTGGCGGTGGCGGTGGCGGCGGACCTCTGGTAGATGCTGCAAAGGGAGGCAGGTACGGAGCTGGTGGTTGTGGTGGCGGAGGAACTTTCCTAGATGTGGCATACAGAAGAGGAGGAGGAGGAGGAGGTGGTGGTGGTGGTGGTGGTGGTGGTGCAAGAGGACCTTTACTAGATGTGGTGGACAGAGGAGGAGGTGGTGGTGGCGGTGGTGCTGGTGCTGGAGGACATCTAATGGATATGGTGGACCGAGGTGGAGGTGGTGGTGGTGGTGGTGGTGGGGGTTGTGGTGGAAGTGGCGGAGATTGACCATTTTTTCCTGTAGTAGAGATTGGTGCTGGCGGCAGTGGCGGAGGTGATGGTGGCAAAATAGAAACTTCAGATGAGGACGACAGTGGTGAGGGTTGTTGAGATTTGACCGTTGGTGAAGAGGGAGGGGGAGGGAGAGGTGGAGCAGCTTCTGGAACAAAATTAGGTGTTCCCAATCCTCCAAAAGTACCTTCAGAAGATGGAGGAAGGGAAGGTGGTGTAAGTACAGCATCAGTGGAGATATTTGACTGTGGCGAACCTGTTACACATTTTATAAGCATAATTTCTTATACTTTATCAGAAAGTACAAATATGTGAAAGATAAGGTCACCTGTTGAATCAGAATCTTGAGTAGCAGAATCAGCAAGTATGTTTTCCACATCCATACTGATACTTGAATGATGCTGAACTTTTTCACTGTCCACTGAAACAACAGAATCTGAAGTTACAGAATCTTTTTCCTCATCAGATTCTAAGGGCGACATTAGAGGTATCTGCAGCCCCACCTTACTTTGAAGCCTTGAAATCTCCTTGGCATCAGTTAAAATTAGCTTTTCGAGTTTTTCTTGCAATGCATTTGCTGATATTTGTTTGAGCAGCCAAAAGGCATCATCATCATTTCTCTCAAACCATTCAACACCACTGAAAAGTTCTTGCACCTTTTCAAAAGCTTCAATGGGCAATCCACCTTTCACTTCTCCATTTAAAATTGCAGTTGGAGCTCTAGGAGGAGAGATGTTCTCAGTTTCACCAAAAAGCACCTGATGTTGCACATATCAAGTACGAACAGGTGAACTAACAGTATCTATAGTTTCACGAGACAAAATAATATTGATTGTTGGAAATGCAGCTCTACTTGGTGAAATAGCCCACGTTTACCTCTGCTCGGAAACCCTTTGGAAACCGGTCCTTCGAATCCCAGAGTATATCCACATCATCAGAGTTCAGCATGAGAATGTTAGATCGAATGAAGGCAGTGTTGAACATGATACGGAACATCATTACTTCCCTATCTGGATCTAAATCAAGATGAACACATTCCAAAACAACATCTCCCTGAACTAAGCACTGTATATCAATTTTTATAACATCACAATCCTCCTGCAAAAACATGCAATCTCAACATGTTGCCATATAGAAATTCAAACTAATCGTGGCACATAAGTAAGCAACAAATATAACATACCTGCTGATAGTGCCGTAAAGATTTCTTCTTAGACGTCGTGAAGAGTGTATTGCTCGAAAGATCATCCTTTTTATGAATATTATGTCCAAAAATACGGATTAGTGGCCTGCATCCGTTCTCTGAATCAAAGCTTGGAATGCCTCGAAGAATAAGGCAATCCAATGAAAGAGCCCGTTCCATGGGGGGCCATTCTGGTGTGATATTTCTTCTAGAAACATACTGCAAATAGCGTAGTTGAGATGGGAGTGGGTTCAATGGTGATAAAAGCTGTAAAAAACCTCTAGGGGCCTCCCGATGTACAATATCTAGAGTTTTTTGTTCAGTGCCATGCAATTTTCTAAAAGTCAAGAAACAAGCTAAAAGAAATGCTAACAATGGCCAACCCCCTCTTTCGCAATGGAGCAGTATAATGTTTTGGTTGTTCCGAAGAGACAACCAACTCTCTGAGACACGAAGGAAGTGATGAACAAGAGACAATGGAAGAAGTGGACAGCCTTCAAACTGTCGTGGATAATCAATTATGGTGACATCATACTTGCACAAAATTTCGGCGAACTGACTTCGTTTTTCTCCCTCTCTAAAATTGAACGCAAGGAAGGAAGAATCAGCATGCTCTTCATGAAGCTCAGTAACAATTTCATGCAAATAGATATGATATAGTCCATCTGGTACAACCTCAGTTGAGAAGCATGAATCAAAAACTGCACATGGTAACAATATCTTACATAAATATTTGAGAACATATATAAAATCAAAAGGTAAATTAGATACTTACCATAAACTCTGTCCACAAATTCTAGCAAACCATCAGGTGGCCTTTTGTAAAAGAACCTGCTAAAAAGGGACATCTTACAGAAGATATCGCTTCGACACCAAATGAGAGAAACTCAGATTGCAGGGTTTAAAGATTTTGTTATGCCAAAAATCTGTCCATTTTCCGGGTTATTCTGGACTCCAAACACCAATCACAAGCAAGCATTGTAGTAAGCATCGTCAATTTGATCCCTGGAGATAATAAGCAACCAGAAACTATAAATAAAGATTTAAATGCTCCAAACTTGACGAAGTTTATTACTTTGTACATGGTTCAATGGTGGAAAATAGTTGGAACGTTATGGCTTGTTGTTGTTCTTATTGTTTTAGATAATAAGAAATATATGTAAAATGTGTCAAATGGAGTCAGAATAACTGAGACAGTGTAAGATTTTTGAAGTTGGTGTAAGATTCAAGAAGTCAACTTTTGCAATCTTATTAGGATGAAAAAGCTTCCAAGTGATTGGCAAGCAACATTGGACAATAATATGGATAACATAAAGAGAAGATCTAGTAAGAGCATGATGAATTTTGATCCTAGTGTTCCAAAAACACATGTAGTATTTCATAGAGTTACAGAGCAAAGATGGCCATGATCATTTCACCACACAAACAAAAACCTTGAAACAAGAATGCTACACAAAAGTTAAGTTAATTAAGCAGCTCCAGACTCGCATTTATTTGAGGGCAGTATCAATAACACAATGAACATCCATTCATTATAACTCTGTTATGGTTTCTATAATAGCTTTTTAATGTCTTGTTCTACGTCTCTTTCTCCTGTTAATCATCGTTGACTTGCTTTGATTAATTGGTACATATAGGGGTGTTGTTTTTAACATGCCCATACCACCCTAAATGCTGTTATTCAAAATCCACATATTTCATATTCTATCTTTTCTAATAATTCAACAGATCCATCTTGCCATCTTCATCTCAACAAAACCATAATTTTGAGCACCACATGCCTTGCTTTGACAGTACATTATTGTCATTCAGATTATGACCCAGCAAAATCCAAGGTACATAATGCTAGGAAACCTATATTGTTAACACCCCAAATAGCTTCCCGTTTATCCATGGCATGCCATCTATAATGTTTCCTTTAAGTGGCAAACAAGTTTTCGTAAATGACTCTTACTTCATTATTACAGTGTTAGGAAAAGCTATCCCAGCAAGAATAGTTCTTCTGTAACAGGGCAAACACCCTAATTGATTGACAGGAAGACCAGGCATAACATTAGATGTCACTAGTCTAGAAGATTTACCTATGCCACTCATAAAAAGAATCAAGAAAGAACTATAATGAAGGTTATAACAACAAGATGCTGAGAGTGTAGCTCAAGATGCAGCCATGAAGCAAGAATTTCTCTCATGATCACAAAAAGAAACAATTTCTTAAACAAAAAGAAGTGAATTCGTGAACCCGCCAATATCACTGCATTCAACACTGATATAGAAAACTGCCTAACCAAGTAGCAGGAAAACCAGAAACTCACAACAGACATCACCCGGATATGAGGTTGCCTATGTCACCCTCAAAATAGAGGCAATAAAGAACACTCGCGCGTTACAGAAACTCAAAATGCAATCATGGAGCCAGAAATTTCTTCCATGATCGACAAAAAAGAAAAAGTTATTGAACAAAAAGTTAACAACATCTTGAACCCACCAATAGCTGTAAACAAAAGCAACAAGTTCCATTCCTATAACTATGCCCTAATCTTGATAATCCGCTCTTTCGTTGCCCTAGAGCCCTACAGCAGGAAACAATCTGCATTCCGCAGGCACGGGATGCTAGCTCTATAAACTAATTATCATCGAAAATGCCGATACAGTCAACAGGGCAAAAGCAATGCCCTTACCAAGTGACCGTGAGACATGACACTAACGTTAGGGATCACTGCTCTAGGAGATTACCTATGTGACGACCTAAAGAAGAGAACATTCATGCGGGTTACAGAAACAAAATCCTCAGCTCAAAACGCAATCGTAGAGCGGGACACCTATTTCGCGATCGACAAATAAAGGAACAAGTCCTTGAGCAAAAAAGAATCAATTTCTTTAACCCGCCATCAGCTCCAAAGAACAGGGCATTCAAGCCCAAGGATGGATGGCTTCGGCGTTCAAGAACCACTCAAATCCGGTCGTGTACGCCGACGGGACCCTCTCCAAGAACCGACAACAGCCAATCTGATCAATTACCGGTGGAAGAAGGGATCGATGCTTACCCTACACACAAAACCCCCCCAGCAGGTGGATCGACGAGATGGGCGTGGAGGCGGAGGGTTTGAATTCGAACTGTGGTGGGAAGCGAATTCGAACTGGCTGAAGAGCCTCCCTACAGCCGCTGCCGATGGTGTGTTCGCTCGCGTGAATCCCAACTGTTGAGTGCCCAAAAAAGAGAAAGCGAGACCTGCCTTGTAAAAGGGTGGGTGTGTGTGTGGGTGTGGTCGTACGGTACACCGCCTGTAATCGGTTAAACTGAGCACAATTAGAATTCAGAACAAGAAATACCAGCCGATCACAAACCGGCCATCAGACGCATCACACCTTGAATGGACGGCTGACATCTTCCTATGTTTACGATGATGAAACGTAGGCCGTCCGAAACCCCGTCGGATTTGATCCACGACAATAGTCGCACCTGGTGATCAGCCGTGGATGGATGACCGCTAAACTTCGTGCTGCCATCAATCAACATCGCGGGAAGTAATACTGGGAATATGTTACAACATTCCTGTATATATATATATATATGTGTGTGTGTGTGTGTGTGTGTGTGTGTGTGTGTGTGTGTGAATGATAATAAAATTGAAATTGATTTCACATAAAATATTGCCTAATAAGAGGACGCAATCGAAACAGTATTTATTGTAAAAAGATATAACCGTTGTTAGTAAGTTGAATCACATCTTAATTGTTTGGAGGTGGATGAGAGTGAGATGGAGTGGGCTTTCCATCTCCATCCAACCCAACCAACATGGCATGTGGAATGTTGCGATCTAACGCAACTCACTTCACGCAATCACTGTCATCCAACCATCCCAAACACCAAGCAAACGGAAATGGATTCCACGCCAAGTCCATGACCAGAGCAGCTCCATCATCACAGCCCTACTCGTTGTACGCGGTGCCACTGATGCGAGATCCCACCACCACCATCCTCTCTCGAGGCTTCTCGGCGAAGCAGCTCCGACAACATAATCACACCCCTAAAACAAGCCTTCTTTGGTTTCTCTCCTCGTCGCCTCTGTGTACGCTCAAACACGCCTCCCTAAAAAGTCCACTGTCACTTGATGATTGCATCGAGTAGGGAATGCAAATGACTTCAGCGATATAATGTCGACTAGTAGACAAAGAGATGGAAAAATCCTTGAATCAGTCTGTGTTGTTTGAGATGCATCATCATCACATGGTGTGCAGGAAGCTTCCATGTCCAAATGAAGCTTTTCAGGTGGAGGATGGCGAGACCCCACTCGTCGCTTGCCTTGCACGCCATGGCACATGACTCGCTCGGTCCTGCGCCGACTGCAAGCAGAGCGTCATCCACTCTTTTCGGTGATCACAGCTATGCGTGCGCGTTGAGCAGTTCGTTAGTTTACCCCTCGGAGGAAGAACGGGTAAAAGAAGAAGACCGTCTGGTTTGATCTTTGAATACATCGTTTGACGTCGACGTTGCCCCCACGGCGTTGCGTTAGGTTGGGATTGGATGGAGGTGGGTGATGCCAAACGAAAACATCCAGACTTCAGCTGAGAAAAGAGATCAACCCACGTAGAACATTTAATGTGCACAAGAACAACAAAGAAACAGTCCTGAGAACCCAAACAAAAGAAGAAACGGGGACAGAAGAGGAGCAAGAAACGAGAAATATCAGATACTCAGAAACTAAAACCAGCACACTAAGGTTGATGCCGATCCATCTACCTCTCTATGATCAATATGGTGGCACACAACACTTTCCTCTTTGGGCAGAAAAGAGCAGTCTGGTCAATCATCTTCATGTTCATGATAACCTACTAAAATTCTGTTCTGTCTCTACTCCCCCCATTCACTTTGTCTCGGTGAAAGCACAGAGGTGAATAATGGAAAGGTGCCTCTCCCTATAACCTAACAAGTGAAGCGAGAACCAGTAATAAAGCTGAAGCTAGCAAAAGCTAAAGGAAGCATAGGGCCCAAGAGAAGCTAAACCGCTACCTAAAAGAGAAGAACAAAATCCAATCTGTTACAGAGAGACTGCGACTAAAAGGGAGTCCGACATGTACACTCGAACCGGATGCTGGGCCGGACGGGCGCCACCGGGCTCAGAAGGAGGCGACGGGGGGCGCGACGAGCTCCGCCTCCTTCTTCCGGCGCATCTCCAGCACCTTGCGGTGGCTGTTGGAGTGCATATGGCTGACGAAGGTGGGGCTGCAGGCCGGGCGGTACTCTGGGAGGAGACGGCCGGACTTGAAGCGGACGCCGCAGGCGTTGCAGAGGGTCTTGGCGCCGAGCGGCCCGGCCCGCCACTGCGGCGTCTTCTGGACACCGCAGTGGCTGCACCGCCGTTCGCCGGAGGCAGTGGAGGAAGATGGTGGCGGCGCTTTGGGCTTGCGGCCGCGTTTCTTCGGGTTCTGCTTCTTGGGCGGCGTCGGTTGGTCGCAAAGGAGGAAGCTTTGGTCGACGGCGATGACGGAGGGGTCGTATATGAGGAAAGTGGAGGAGGAAGACGTGGAGGAGCATGAGGAGGCGGAGGTAGTGGTGGAGGACGAGGAGGAGTCCGAGAAGGGGAGCGGGCCGGACATGGACCAGGCGGCAGCGGCACTGCGGAAGCGCTTGCTCCGCTTGGCCTTGACCGGAACCGCCGCTTCGGTGGAGAGGGCGCAAACGGTAGGACCCGAAGAGGGGCCTTGACCTTGCGGCACGGCGCCGCGGGCTTGGCGATTCTCACTTTGGGCGTCGCTCGGCGGTGGTGAAAGGGATGCAACGCCGGAACACGGCGGTGGGAACTCCGGGATGGAGTCGTCGATGATGAGGGAAACCCACTCCAGTTCTTCAGCATCATGCGCCTGAAGGCAGCAAAGCGAAACCCCTCAGGATGCATAAAAAACCACTCTTTTCGACATAAAAAATCGCAACTTTAGCCTTGTTTTGCTGTCATTCCAAAGAACAACAACAACAAAGAAGAAGAAGAAGAAGAAGAAGACTCACCGGCAGACAGATATCCGAAAGAGGAAGCGGTGGTGGAAGCTCGAAGGTTAGACCCGAAGAGGAGGAGGAAGGAGAAGAAGAGCGCTCTGTCTCATTACGCGTTGCTTCCGCGTCGGTTCCAAATTCTCTCCCAGCTTCGTCCTCCTCCGTTTCCATCTCGTTCTCCGCGAACTCACCCAGGTTAAGGAGGTCGTCGACAGAGAACCCCTCACCTACCAGGTTCCCTCTTTCAAGAAACCAACCCGCCTCCTCGCTCAAAACCCCCTGGTTCTGCTTCTGCTGCCCCGTGTACAGAAGCTCCGGCCTCGAAGTGGCCCTCAGCGCTTCCATGCCGGTTTCTTTCTCCACCTGCAACGCGACCAAACCTCTTAAACCTCCGCAATTAACACCGAAAATACGACCAAAGCAAGAAACCAAGGTTTTTACTCCAGAACGAAACGTAGGAGCAGAAGAAAAGAAGAAATGTTCCATCTTTCCTCTCATTCCCCCCATCCCCACAAAGATGAGATTTTTAACATATTTGCTGGCGTTACATCCTACCTGAGCGCAGTGGGAGCAAGCCGAGGTTGGTACAGGCGCAAGACGCGAAGGGCGCGGTGGCGAAGGGCTGAAGAAGAGTGACGCAACAGCAGAAGAGGAGAAGGAGGAAGAAGAAGAGGAGGAAATGAGCGTTCGGTGGGGCATTGAATGGCTGCCTAAGTCCGTGTGCGTAACAAATGCCCTGTTACACACCCCCACCCCCATTTACCTTTCCTACCACTTTCCTTTTCCCTTAATTTAATGCCAAACTCAAAATCTCAGGACGCGCTTCCCATTGCCTTCACCCATTTTGTTTCAGAAAACAAAGCTTCGGGACATGTCTCATGGTCCCCTTTCGATAAATAAAGGTCGCCAGTAAAAACGTTTCCGAGATTTCTCGAAAGCAAATCCCAATTTCTGAAACAATTCTGGGCTTATTCTTCGAAACACAAAAAACACTATCCCCATCCGATGCATACACCCCCCATGTTCGCATATCTTTCGAGTGACACCACCACATGGCCTTTTGCCACGGGGGAATGAATGCGGCCAACCATAATTCCCTGCTTTAAATAACATAGAATTCGTCAAGATTGACGCAACCCTGATCCTGTAGATCGAATCGCCTGCCCGTGTTTCCAATTATATCCTTGTGAGCGAGCAAAAGAGAGCAGCGGCAGCCTTTTGTCGCTGCTGGACTGATTCCATTCGTACCCATATCGTAATTACACCGCCATGACGAGGCTATAGTGGTAATAACACCAGAAAAACTAATCTCTTTAATTGATTTCCATCACGCACTTACGAAGGACGCGGCGAGGATTCCGCGCCATTTGACGATGTTGCCCCTTTATTCGTTCCGCAGACGACAAGCGACGCGGTGGTCCTGCACGCCTCGGTGCGGTCGCCGGGCGAGGCGCTTTCGGCGAGGATATGCAGGACATTCTCCGTCAATCCTAAGGGTACGAAGGGGAATATACTGCCCGGGGTGTTTAGTTCGGCGAGTCAAACGGGTCGCTTTCCGAGCCGGCGGCCGGTCCGACACGTCAACCTTCCACGCGTCGGCTTCTTAGTGGACGAGATTCGGTCCGGCTGATGCCCTAGCCTTTGGAGCCACGCGGCGGTGTTCGAAATTTAAACGCAAGCGGAGCGTGATGGAATCATGTCGCTATGTTCGAGTTAATTTATTTTATCGAATTAATTAATTGTCTTTTTTTGTTTTTGGATTTGAAGAAAATTTACGATCCGTGATTGTTGATGATGACTCACGTACTCGAGCCAGAGGAAAGCCGCGTGTCCTTGGAGATACGAGCCAAAAGCGCCAGCGCCGGCAAACACGGCCGGCAACCGCCCAAATCGGCGCGCAAGGGACGTTCACGTGATTGACGGTGGAAATCAAATTCGACGCCCGACTGATACGAAAACAAAATAGGGGTATAATAGTAAAAGAGCATGGCCGAGAGTCACATGCGCCGCACGCCCCCAACCACCACATGGCCGAGGATTTTGATTGTTGACGATAAAGTCTTACCATTTATCTTCTAAAAAATGAATTGTTTATTACTAAGAAAAATCATAATTGTTTTTATCATCAAAATAATATTTTAAAAAAATTAAAATTTTTATGATTTTAATTTAATTATGAATTATCTCTTATAATTGTTTATCTTTAGTATCTCAATCCTTATATTTTTAAAAGTTATATTAAGACCATATACTTATGAAATTAAAATAGTTAATCTCGTTTCTCCTCACACCGTTGATTCTGCTGATGAAAATATCATACGATTTATCAATGAGCATATATTGACTATATCTCATTTTGATTTATCATTGTGTACGTACGTTGTTTTCGTCAGCAGAAATGACGATGTGAGGAAAAGAAAAATAGAATTTAAATATAGAAATCTATTTTTTAAAGATATAAACAACGAGATGCTAATTTACGAGTGATAGTTTATAATTAATCTATAGATTTCAATCGATAATTATTGGCCACAAAGTTTATTCGCAGGTAATTATGTTCGCATGACTATATATAAGTATGTGTTTTAGTCCAACATTTACAGCTTAAAAGTGATTCGGCTTTTCTCCACCTTTATCTCGACCACATGAATTGGGATGGAGCTGTCATCGCACACACAACACAAACACTCGACATCTCACCACATAGCTTTACTCGCGTCGCAGCGGGTGGGAGAGGGTGGAAAGTGGTCTCTATTCCAATGAGGTTAATCATTGACGTGGTCTCCACCCATCGGCATCATACGAAGGGTGTAGACCATGTCAAGATGGATACCTCGCTCTGTAGCTAGAAATCATGCAAATTTCAAGAAATAAAAATAAAAGGGATAGGGTTGACAAGATGTTACCACATAAAAATGGTCATGTAATTTGATAGGATGATGTGACCTCATGCAATGCCAAGGACTTACCTTTCTTTAGTGGAAGACAAATTAATAGCAACTACTCTCTCTCTATGTGCACTACCATTATGTGGAGAGTGGATTGGTCCACACCGAGATGATAAAAGAAAGGGTGCTTGGTCTAGTGGGATACAACAAATATGGATAGTTTGATTCACAAAATTAATTATCCGTTATTGCATCAGTCCTTTGTGTCTCCTTCTCTAATTAATTAGATGGACACAAAATTAAATATGGATAGTTTGATTGGGATGTCCTGTTTGTAAACATAAAAATATTATCACTTTTAATAACATCATACCAATATCGAAATCGAAAAATATATATCAAATATAAGATATTAGGTACCTTCGGATGTCATGACAGAATATTATCTCGTAATATACTATAGTTTGATCTATAAAAAACAACAAACAGTAAATTAATATTTTATTTTATTTTCTTAATCTTTCATAGAATTATAATTATTGATGAAATAAATAGGATACGAGAGGATAGATCTTTAGTCTACGATAAATTATTATTATTATTATTTTACTAATATAGGAGAATCGATAATTAGAATTTATTGATGGGAATCGCTTCTTCTATGAGGTCGGAAGGGAGATTGACTTTTCACACAACGTCAACGTCCGGACGTCAACCAACTTCAAATTGGACTATTATTCTTATCATAATAAGGTCAAAACAAGCTTTGGATCACAACGAATTCCCGCACGACACTAAAACTAACACTCTTATCTCAGAGTATAACTCTCCGAATCATTTGTTATATTTGCATCAGAACGCCGATATAAATCCATCCATCCACCCGTCTTCTCCTCTCTCTCTCTCTCTCTCTCGCTTTCTCTCTGGTGCAACTAAGACTGCAGCAAGAGGAGTCGTCCGTGGCAAGAGGAGGACACTCGATGAGGTTTCGTTTGCAGATGCCGCACCTCGGCGACCACGGGAGGAAGGAGAAGACGGCTGCCCAGGGGACACCCCCCAAGGGGTGCGTGACGGTCGTGGTGGGGCGGGAGGGTGATAGCGCCGCTGATCACCACCTTCCTCACCTTGAAGGTTGAAGTGTACCTCGAAGTTTTGGATCAGTTCTTTAAATTCCCAGCGTTTTTTGGGGGTTTAGATTTGAATTAACTCGTGATGATGACGAAAAGTAGTGAATGTACGATAAGTACACTCTCTGAATCCGAATCGAAATTGATGGTTTTATCTGCTATCATACCTTCCTATATAAATCCATCGATCCTAATGTTTACATATTAGTGTTCCTAATGTTTCTCTTGATTTCCACTAATAATTATTTGCGTCATGTAATTTTATGCTTCTCGTATATTTCTTCTTTGCTAAATGTTAATGAATTTGCTGTGAAAAATATTTACATCTATTCCACTGCAAAAGACGCAATTAAAAACCAAATATACATATATTACGAACAGAAAAACATAAAAATAACTCACAAAGGTATCGACCACTAAGGTTTCATGCTTCGATTCCTTGTGATCTTTAGGTCAGAGAGAGAGAGAGAGAGAGAGAGAGAGAGAGAGAGAGGAGTGTGCTAAGGCCTACTAGATCAGCATCAGGGAGCGGAGCTCTCAGCCGATCTGAAGGAGCCATAGCTTTGATCGATTTGTTATCCGAGCAAAGTAACACCGCCGATGCCATCGTTGGCTGGACAATCGGGGCTGCCTGACTCTTTGCTCGACGCAACCACAAAAACATCACACACCAAATGCAACTCAATACTGTAGCACAGGAGGAGAACAGAGGAGGAAGCAGTTCTAACTATCGCCGCCGGCGAAAGCAAATCTTTTGCTGGATGCAGGTCGAAGATTGCAACCCTACTCCCTTATATAGAGCCTTCCAACGTACCAAAAAGACTAATATACCCTCCATCATCCAAGTAATCTAAAATCGTTCAATTTAGTTATATGATTAATAATAATGATGATAATAATATAGCTGGTGTGTTGCATACAACCACGTGAACATGGAGATAATATAGCCTGGGTATCATCCGTCTTTGTACGGATCCATCTGCAAAGCGCATGCAATGGGGTTAACGGGAGGACATGGCGGAGGCCAGGCCATCGACGAGGGCCGAAGCATTGCTCGTCAGCTGCGGCACCTTCACGATATGGGCCCTCGCCGTTCACGGCGTACCCGGTCACGCAGGTGTCGTCATCCGTGAGCGCCGCTCTGACCCAGGTTTGTATGTTGCTGATCCGAAACCTCTTGCTCTTGCCCCCCAAGCGCCCCATCGTCGTGAGCGACTCTTGGAGCTCGCTCACCGAGTCGCCGAGCGTCTCCATGCCGAGGAGCCGTGCTACTGATGGCGGACATCCTGGTCATCATGGTCGACGTGGACCGGGCGCTGGCGAGGCTCACGGACAGGGCAACGTTGGCCAGATGCATGGGGCTGGTGTGCTGGCATAGGCCGAAAGGAAGCTGAAGCAGAGCTTGGGGTATTCGGTGGCGCTGCGAGAGGTTCTGATGATCTCCATGGCATGGCTTCAGACCGAAGCTAAGGAGCATAAGAGCGAACAGGCCGGCAAAGAAACACAGGTACAAGTGGTCTTGTTTCCACGACTCTCCATCGCAGGAACTGGCAGCAAGGGGATCGGAAGAAGTGCCTTCTTATAGCAGACAAGAGTGGTGTCACTTGAATTGACATCCATGAAAAGGTCGAGAAAAAGCCAGGTGAAAACTGACAAGCGGATATCTTCTCGTGGTGTTGCAGAACTCGAAGGGTAAACACAGCTGCAATGGTGCTCATCACAGTAAGGACAAATCGATGAGAAGTGGCGTGTTCTCGAGTGCAGGGCTCCGATTATGTGAAGAATCCGTGGCCACAGTGATGGTCCCTCTCAGGCGTTCACCCGTGACGAGTGGGACGCTGCGTGATTAGACTCTGCGCTCGAAGCCCTTCGATGGAGGAGAAGGTGAGTTCGACTTCACACAGTAAAGTACGTTCCCCAGGCAAAATTTTTTCTGCGGTGCATGCGATAAGATACAAGATGGCAGAAGGAGATGATATCATGCGATCTAATATAGTACTCATGATCATGATTATGATTCTATCTAGAGCAGGACTGCTGCTATCCACCTCTTGCTTATCCTCCTCTTTGCTCCCAGGATTCAAGTGGGAAGAAGTATTTTCCTTTTTTTGCTGCTTATTTCTGTAAACCTTTAATTTCGCGGAGTGTCATCTGTTTGCAGCCTCTCAAAGAAACAACAAATGGCATCTCTACTGGTAATGAGACGAGTCCATACTTTTAAGAGATACAGATATTAGTCACGGATAATGGATATTTATGAGGTGAGATGAACTCGGACTTGCTATGACACAGTGTGTCTGGTCCCAAACCAGTGATAACTTAGTGTCCATCCACGTCGGCATTGGATGCAGTCATCGTATTATGCATTCCATTTTACATATTACTTGTTCTTGTGATGTTCTAAGGCAGCTTGTTCAAATCTATTCGAACCTTTCAGATTGAATCCATTATATATATATATATATATATATATATATATATATATATATATAATTTTGCCGCCAGTAATAAAGGTGAGGGCGGGAGGGTAAAGAGCACCATAACACGCCACAGCTTTAGGCCACGAGTTTTGATGGGATCAGTCTGTGGTCATCGCACATATAAGAATGGAGCCCAACCCATTCCCACTTCTCTTACCCACACATTCCAAGGATAGGAAGCCCGTCAACGTGGCAGCTTCCCAGCCCTTGGAAGCACCAAATTCCAGCTTCCACCCCTGCAACCAATTCGAAGCATCGAGCCACGAATCACGGACCCAATCCTTCGGTCGGACCAAATTAAGACCCAATCTGGGCACCCAATCTGTCAATTTGGATCGATCCAGACCAACCAATCTTGAGATTTCATCGAAAGTTAGGGGTTAAATGTGACAATTTAATGACAAAATCCCCCAATTTAAATTCGGCTGTCATCCGGCTAAGAATTCTTCGGCTACGAAGTGTGCATAAATTAGTAAGAGGGTGAGGTTTACATCGAGAGAGACAGAGAGGAAGAGGAGAGCGAGTAAACTACGGGCATGGCGGGGGAAACCATGCGGATAACGGCCTCGGCCACTTGCGGCGGCCTCCACGGACCCCGTCGGCGCCTCCTCCCCCTCGCTCCCCGTCGTGGCCTCCTTGGGCCCAACTACTTCTTCACCGCGGGCCTTCGCCACGCCGCCGCCTCCGACCTCTTCGGTAGCCTGCGCCTCAGGTCGAGTCCGGCGGCCCCTGCGTTGCAGGAGAAGTGCCGGAGGGTTCCTGTGGTGTCCATGGCCGGTGATGGTGCGTTCCTCCCCGTCTCTCCTCTTTCGCTCTTAGCTTGTGTGGCTTACTGTACCTTTCCTGTCTTCAATCTCTAGATTGTTAGGAGTCTTGGAGGCAGTGTTTGTGATAGCGCGAGATGCATTGAGCCTGTTTGATTAAATGTTTGAGAAGCTACTATTTCTTTACTTTGTTGCTGACAAAGTAAATTCTTGAATCTAGTTAGTGAGGTTATCCTTTGTGAAATCCTTGAATATTTAGTTTCCTTGCTTATCATTCCATTTTTGTGACTTATCTTTAAACTCAACAAGTTTACATACGCACACAGGGCAAGGCTGGGATATCGCATCATGGGGGCTAATATATGTGTATGCGTTAATTTGATGACAATTTGAGAAATCATTAAATACTAACTTAAAAATTCAGATAAAAATAGTACCCATTTTATTTCCAGTAGTATAAAATGGATTACTTGGATGTAGAGTGGAGACGAGAGAAACGTACAATTCTCACAAGTAAAAATTGATTTTTCTTTATTTAAGGGAATGATTTATTACTATACAACAATAGAAAAAAAGAAAGAAGGGCTCAATTAAGAGGATTATTGTGTGGGTTGAATGCGAGTCCAGATACGTGTGCTAAAGGAATCCTCTTAAAAACTTCCTCATGCTATGTGTTGCTTTCACCTCACTTGTGAACCCACAGGTTACCAAGTTTGTAGGAGGTCCACATTGCATGGCAAGTTTCACTTGGGGAACTTTTGACACAGACACTTAGGTAGTTTGTATGTGGAATCAGACTTCCATTTAAGGCCAAATGGGCAGGGTCCTTGTGGTACCTTGTAAATTACTAAGCCAAGGAAGGCAACGGTCATCCTTGGCCTTAATGTGGCCTCGTCCATAGATGCATAGGGCTATTGCTATAACCATGTATCCAAATGTGTGGATCTCTATTTGTAAATAGAAACATTATGTTTCTTTCATAGCCCCAAACCTAAATCATGAGATGCATTATCATTATTTTTGAACCGTAATTTGGAAAATGACATTGCAGAAGATTCTTCACATGAAAATTGATAAAAAATTCAAGATGCTTTGTGTGACACCTTTGCCATGATTTTTTGCACTCTTCCTTACAATAATTTTCCCCTTAGTTCTTGCTTCTCAGTGTAACCAATTTGGCTTGTGCTTCAATCCATAAATTGGCCTCACGATGAATATCAAGGGACATAGTTTGAAAGCAATTTAACTGAGATGCAAGTAACACTTGTTTATTTATCACTTACAGAAACAAAGCGGCAAGTGCCATTGAAGGACTACCGCAATATTGGAATCATGGCACACATAGATGCTGGAAAAACTACAACCACAGAGCGTGTTCTATACTACACTGGGAGAAATTACAAGATTGGTGAAGTACATGAGGGCACAGCAACAATGGACTGGATGGAGCAGGAACAAGAGAGGGGAATCACTATAACCTCAGCAGCAACCACCACCTTTTGGAACAATCACAGGATCAATATTATTGACACTCCTGGTCATGTGGATTTTACACTTGAAGTTGAGAGAGCGCTTAGAGTATTAGATGGAGCTATATGTTTGTTTGACAGTGTTGCTGGTGTGGAACCGCAATCTGAGACTGTTTGGAGACAAGCTGACAAATATGGGGTCCCCAGAATATGTTTTGTCAACAAGATGGATCGTCTTGGAGCTAACTTTTTCCGAACAAGGGATATGATAGTTACAAACTTAGGCGCAAGACCTTTAGTCATTCAGTTGCCTGTCGGTGCAGAAGACAAATTTCAAGGAGTTGTAGATCTGCTGAAAATGAAAGCTATTATCTGGTCAGGCGAGGAACTTGGTGCAAAATTTGTCTATGAGGACATACCTGCTGATCTCCAAGAAATTGCTCAAGAGTACAGAAACCAGTTGATAGAGACTATCGTTGAATTAGATGATGAAGTAATGGAAAAGTATCTAGAAGGAATCGAGCCAGATGAGCAGACAATGAAGCAGTTAATTAGGAAAGGCACCATATCAGGCTGTTTTGTCCCAGTTTTATGTGGATCAGCATTTAAAAACAAAGGTGTTCAGCCATTGCTTGATGCTGTTGTGGACTATCTACCTTCACCTCTTGACTTGCCACCGATGAAAGGTTCTGATTCTGATAACCCAGAGGTGACCATTGAAAGGCCTCCTAGTGATGATGAGCCATTTGCTGGACTGGCTTTCAAGATCATGAGTGATCCATTTGTAGGATCTCTTACATTCGTGAGAGTGTATTCTGGGATGTTGTCTGCAGGTTCTTATGTCCTCAATGCAAATAAAGGAAAGAAGGAGAGAATAGGAAGACTTCTAGAGATGCATGCTAACAGTAGGGAGGATGTCAAGGTAGCTTTGACTGGTGATATTGTCGCTCTTGCAGGACTGAAAGATACAATCACAGGTGAAACACTCTGTGATCCAGAGAAGCCCATAGTTCTTGAAAGAATGGACTTTCCAGATCCTGTCATTAAGGTTGCGATAGAACCCAAGACCAAGGCAGATGTTGACAAAATGGCAATTGGTTTAATTAAGCTTGCCCAAGAGGATCCATCTTTCCACTTCTCAAGAGATGAAGAAACAAACCAAACTGTTATTGAAGGAATGGGTGAGCTGCATCTTGAGATCATCGTCGACCGCTTGAAGAGGGAATTCAAGGTACATATGGCATATATGTTGGGTCTTTAGGTCCTCATAAGTAGGTTTTGGTATGTTTCAGAACTTACAAACAGTCTCTGCTTTGGCTGTGTGTTTTTAATGGTTCTTTGGAATTTTTTTGCATATATTAGCGAATATGAACTGCAAGAGATCAAATATTCCTTGTTTTATATGCGTCATCACATTTTAAGGTGATGCATGTTATATAGTGTCAACTAAGTTCTGTGACATGTTACTTGAGTTGAGAATTGAAGTTCCAGTTTGTTGGTCCATGCATATTTTGAATGTTGCCTGTGATTTCTATAAAAATTATTTCCGCACAAGTCATTCATGGAATTTATTTTTGAGTTTGTTGTTTGGTTATACATCTTTGTCTGTGCTTTCTGTTCGTGGATATGCTATTCCTCATTTTGATGGTCCCTTGTTACTAATTTCATATGTGACTTGGCGAACAGGTTGAAGCAAATGTAGGTGCACCCCAGGTGAACTATAGAGAAAGCATCTCAAAAATATCAGAAGTTCAGTACATCCACAAGAAGCAGTCTGGTGGACAAGGGCAATTTGCAGACATCACAGTCAGATTTGAGCCACTGGAGCCTGGCAGTGGGTATGAGTTCAAGAGTGAAATTAAGGGAGGAGCAGTGCCAAAAGAATACATTCCTGGAGTCATGAAAGGGCTGGAAGAATGCATAAGCAATGGTGTGCTAGCTGGCTACCCAGTTGTTGATGTCAGAGCGGCATTAGTTGATGGCTCGTATCATGAAGTTGATTCCAGTGTTCTAGCATTTCAACTGGCAGCCAGGGGTGCTTTCCGTGATGGCATGAGAAAAGCAGGTCCAAAATTGCTTGAACCCATCATGAAAGTGGAAGTAGTCACCCCAGAAGAACACTTGGGCGATGTTATTGGTGATCTAAACTCGAGAAGAGGCCAGATCAATAGCTTTGGTGATAAGCCAGGTGGTCTTAAGGTATGTGAAAAAATGAACCCTCCATGACATTTGCTCTCTCTTTTTTTTTTTTTATGAATGACGTAACAGAAACTAAAAAATTGCCTAGGTCACATACCTGGGCTCGATGAATATTTGAACGTAAAATCTCTTCTAGTTGAAGAAGGGAACCAACAGCTAGGCCAAAGCCCTTGTTGATTGGTTATATTTGTACTTTTTATTGGTTTTCTAGAACTTGCAATATATTGTTGAACACTCAGGTCAGTTTGAGGACCCATGGAGTGGGTCAAAATTTTCAATTAATCTGACCTGCAAGTTATATTCTTGCTTGTCAAATTAATTATTTTGTAGCATGTTCGAGTAGGTTTCATATACTGCAGACCTGAGTCATTAGTTGTTTTCACCGTCATGACTTGTTTTGTTAATTTATTCTTCAACTTTACAGAAGTCATTAGTTGTCCTTTTTCTTCTTTCGTACATTGGTTCTTTATTTATTGTTTTTGTCCCATGACATTCTATGGATCTACAACTGGGGTGGTTGCTTACAGATGCTCCTTAAACATACACTTACCATGGTTTTCTTTGCTGATGCCTTGAAATTGCAGGTAGTCGATGCTTTGGTACCACTCGCCGAAATGTTCCAATATGTTAGTACCCTTCGTGGGATGACAAAAGGACGCGCATCTTACACAATGCAGCTTGCACAGTTTGATGTTGTCCCACAGCACATCCAGAATCAACTCTCTGCCAAACAGGAAGCTGTCTCGGCTTAGGACGAGGCCACAAATCTTGAAATTCTTTTTGATCCTCATGTTTGGAGTCAGACATAGCAGTTTGTAATTTTCATATTTATTGAAAATATAAAGGGCTGTGTTCCTGTCGACAGTAGGTAATTTCTTATTTTTGCCAGGTCTTCCTGCTTTTTCAACAATTTTAGTGAAGCAAGATCTGAGTTAATTATGTTTCCAATATTCATATCCAAAGTAACAATACATAATTGGTGTGATGACTGCCATCACATGAAAGTTTATGTGGTTGTTCACATATGTCTTTCTTTGTCTATGCTCCTTCTATCTTCTTGCTGGAGTAATATCACATAGAGCTTATATGATGAGTGTGAAGATAGCATGATGCATATGCACCCCATGTGATTGAATTTTGTAGTTGAAGGAGCAGCCGTTTTCATTTGTCTTGAAGGTGGGTTTACAACTTCCAGATGGGCAACCACAATAAATTAGGAAACAAGAAAAAGAGTGAACCCTCAAATTTCATCTGCCAGATTGAAATTAAGTGTGTCTCAGATTGGAAGAAACCTCAAATTTTACCTGCAAGAGTAGGAATTCAAACATCTGTCAGTAACACATTACTTGTCTTCATGTGATTCAACTCCCAATGGTTTCCAAGCTGCCTATATCTCAATATTTAATCATCACCCAAAGTGTTCTAAGTTTCCATCCCTATTTGCTGCTCCCTTATCTTCACTTGTCCGTAAATTAAATCTCACCCAACCCTTAGCTTGATTGCAATTGCCCAATCTTTGCTTGATTGCTCATCATCGATTGCCCTTCTCACCCAAGCCATGCCAACCCTGCAAGAATCCTTCGCTTAAAAGCCCCCACACGCGCATCGACCCCACGCCCTCCCTCCTTCCCCAAACCCCACCGCAAAACACCACACCATCAGACATGCAAAGTCTACCTCCTTTCCTCTTCTTCTTCTTCTTCTTCTTCCTCCTCCTCCTCTCCTCCTTTCTGTCCCCCTCCCTCTCCTCGCATGTGTCCGACGACATCGAGTTCTGGTGCAGCAACACGCCGCACCCGGAGCCGTGCCGATACTACCTCGCCCGCAACCCTTACCACGGCACCCCCAAGGACAAGGACCAATTCTATAAGCTCTCCCTCCGGCTCGCCCTCGACCTCACCCTCCGTGCTCAGAGCCATCTCAAGCGCCGCGGTCCCGCCTGCCGCCGCTCCCCCGAGAAGACCGCCTGGCTCGACTGCTGGAAGCTCTACGCCAACACCGTCCTCCAGCTCAACCGCACCCTCGCCCCCCCGCCCGGTGCCGGCTGCACCGCCTTCGACTCCCAGACGTGGCTCAGCGCCGCGCTCACCAACATACAGACCTGCCCCAAGGGCTTCCGCGAGACCCGCACCTCCTCGGAGCTCATCGGCCCGGTCGTGCGGTACAACGTTTCCGACCTCGTCAGCAACTGTCTCGCCATCAACAGGCCCGCCGCCGCCGATGCATACCGCGGAAGGTTCTCCAGCTGGACGATGTTCGGTAACCGGAGGCTCCTGCAGCTCTCGACGGCCGCGGACCTCGTGGTGGCCAAGGACGGCTCAGGCAACTTCCGAACCATTAAGGAAGCTCTCGATGCTGCGTCGAAGCGGATGCAGGGCAGGAGGGGCTCCAAGTTCGTGATACGCATTACGGCTGGTGTGTACAACGAGTACCTGCAGGTAGTCAGCAGCTTGAGCAATCTCGTCATGGTCGGCGACGGCATCGGGAAGACGATTATTACCGGAAGCAGGAGCGTCGCCAATGGCTACACCACCCTTAGCTGTGCAACCTTCAGTAAGAGACTACACATCCTCGGTTAACGGGCACGCAAGCGTGCATGCATGCATGCATTACCGATGAGTTACGTCAACCTTTCCATCCTCATTGCAGGTGTGTTTGGTGATGGATTCGTAGCGAGCGGGATCACGTTCAGGAACACATTCGGTCCGGGGTCGCAAGCGGTGGCGCTGCTGTCGGCGTCGGATCGCTCCGTCTTCTACCGGTGCAGCATCGAGGGATACCAGGACACGCTGTTCGTGTACACACAAAGGCAGTTCTACAGGGAGTGCGACATATATGGCACCATCGATTTCATCTTCGGCAACGCGGCGGCGGTGCTCCAGCGCTGCAACATCTACGCGAGGCGGCCCCGCCACGGCGAGTCCAACGTCATCACGGCCCAGGGCCGCAGCGACCCCAACCAGAACACCGGGATCGTGATCCAGTCCTCCAACATCAAGCCGGCGACGGAGCTCCTGCCGGTGCGGCGGACGGTGAGGTCGTACCTCGGGAGGCCGTGGATGCAGTACTCCCGCACGCTCTACCTACAGAACTACATCGACAGCATCATCGACCACGCCGGATGGCTGCCGTTCCGTGGCAGCTTCGCCCTCAGCACCTTGTACTACGCCGAGTTCGAGAACACCGGGCCGGGGGCGAGGATGTCGAGGCGGGTAAAGTGGCCAGGCTACCACGTCATCCGGCGGGCGTCGATCGTGCGCCCCTTCACGGTGGGGCGGTTCATAGCCGGCGGTTCATGGATTCCGTCCACCGGCGTGCCCTTCAACCCGAGCTTGTGACTCCGTAGCTCGCATTCTTACTAGAATAGCTTTGTCTGCATTCACCATCGCAACGTTTTTACTGCGTCTCATTGTAAACCACAAGCAATAAGCAGAATGGAATGTCGCCATGAAGCGTATGACTCGTAGATCTTGTTTGCTGTTCTGGAATCTAACCATGTCGAAGTCGGTCGCCAAACGCAGTGAGATGTGGCGTACAAGGGATCGGTGGTTGCCGCTTCGACATCGGAGTGAGTGATCCAAAAGGTAGGAATCGGAAGAGTGTGTGACTAAAATAGTGGCAACCCGGGCCGGCCGATGCTGGAGCGGCGGGTCTACGGCTTGCGCAGCTGCCGATGTGCGTCGGAGGGACAGCTGAGATCGCCATGGCCAGCTGTTGCCAAAAGGGAAAGCAATAACACGAGAGCTACACTGCTGATTCGATCGGTCATACGCCGTTGGAATCAACACACGTGGTAAGTCACACGGCAATCAGACCCAACTTGTTGACTTCATCTCGATCGCACTATCGTTCAGCAAGCTATCCATCACCCCTGGCCATGATTTGATAGGGGTTCGCATGGTTAATTACAAGAACCATTAATCTTAGAGATGTGGTCTAACTTTTCAAGCACCCGGTGTTGATCCTCTGTTCATTTTAGGTATGACGCTGTCCTGATAGATGATATGCTCCCAACCGTCTTTATCTAACATGATTAAATAAAAAAATATGTTTATTAGCCAACTCTCCTCCCAAAAATCAGCTATAAAAATCAATCCTCAAAACTAGAGGGATCGACACAAAAAAAAACTCTCTTAAGTTCTGTTAAATCTTTTTTATTTTTTTTTACTGACTTAAGTGCCGAAAGAATTGAGTCGAGAAACCTCGTGACACTAACGAATTATTCAAGACCATAGTGACTAAGAAGTTCCACAAGGTGATGTGAAGCATCACTATATAAGGGCAAGTAGCACATTGAGACAACTTTGAACATCGCAAATCATACCTCGAAGAAACTATGAGTCAATCGTCATGAGCCACTAAAGCTTTAGAAGTTCACTTATTATCTCATGACCAATTCGCTCGTAAGGGATTCGCTTGGGCTTCTAGGACAAGTTTGTATTTTTGGGACTGAACCAGATCGTATGACTTATCGGTCAATGGCATCAAGGAAGTAACAAAGAAGAAGTTGCTGCTCCATGCAAATGGTGCTCTCACCTCAACCATGAGGATTTGTAGAGGAATTCCACCACCATCAGTGTCTTTTTGTCATTATTAGCAACAAGCGAATCTAAAAGATGGACGAGTCGTTGTAAGCATTCTTACTATAACTATTTGTTAGAGCGAGGGTAATAGATATAGATGATGTTTAAAATGGTGGATGAGGGGCACGGGTTGCAGACGATTATCATAGATAAATCTGTACAGAAGGTGTTTAATATAATATTTATATATGTCCATATCTTTCAATTTTATTCATGCTTTGCACAACATTCAAAAGATTTATAAAAGGCTTGACAATTTCATTTTGGTTGGCTTTTGTGGTTGTTTTAGTTCTGTAAATACAGATTATATGTAGTTATTTATGGAGGTAAAATTATTTAAAAATAAACTATTCAAATAATCATTTTGAGGGTTTTTTTAGCTTTATAGAGTAGTGTAGAGTATTAACCAACATAGTATCTAAGAGCTACTCAGGTAACATATGGTTAGATAGGCCTTTGAGATAGTATCTAGGGCTAGTTCGCTACTTTGTCTCACAACAATATCATGTGGGTAGTTACGGAGACTTTTAGTTGTAATGGACCACCTTGGCTCTTAATCACGATCGTTCAGAACTTACGAAATCTATATTAGTAATTTACATAACAAATCAAGTATTTATTGAAATGCCTAACTTATGGGATCTCGAGTTAAAACGTTTCCTCTAATCTATCTTATCTTTTGTAGGTCCTTAAGGACCATAAGAGGTTTCGGGGAGACTGTCTCTTTGCGGATAGATACACAATGGTGCCATATGACTTAAGCAAAGTTAACGAAGTATATGACATATGGTATCAAAGCGGGACAAGTACACATAGAGACACTTGACATGTAAACATGAGGAACCTAGCGAGGCTTTGTTGAGGGCAGCCTACACGTGCAACCATTTGAGGAAAATAAGTATAGAGATATACGGAAAAGAGTCACTTAAAGGAGTAAGCATCTAATATTGACATTCAGATGAATGACAAACCTTTTGTGTGAGGGGCATCACGAGAATAAGAGAGTTGGAAAGAACGTGCAAGCTATAGCTTAATGTTGACAACTAAACTTGACAATGCTTAAGGCAAGTGGGGTGCTTGACAAAGGATAAAATCGTGTAAGAAGGGATAAGTTGTTTGATGAGTAAAAGAGTTTTGCAAAGCTTACAAAGGTGGGGGGGAATTGCTAGCTTGAAGAATTCAATACTCATGTAAAAGCTTGTGTGCGGACAATGGACTATTTGTGGCCATCTTAAGGTGATCAAAACTCGACACTGTGGAGCACAGAATCTTTCTCTTCGGTATAGGAAGGATATATTTGTAACAGGCGAAGTGTGCAGTAAGTTCAACATTTTCTAGTTGTTAGGCCTTGAGGGATATAGTATGAGTTATATTGGCGAAGAGTCGTAATCTAACAAATATGTTTACGATAGTAAAATAGTGCATAATTTGTTCAGAAAGGCAGAGTAGTCCAAGAGGATGGTAGTCTGTGAAACTTCTATAAGAAAACATGCAAAGAGAAAAGTTATTCTAACGGGATAGATATCCAAAAGGGACAAATACTGATTCTTTAGAAAAAAAAAAAATCATATACAATGGATCACACATATCGAGAGAAGGTACATCAAAATGATAGTTCCATAAGCTCAATGGATCGAGCAAGTGACGATGAGTCATCGCATGATCTCGCACAAGATAATGCATTGGTGAATGCATTATGACATCAAGTGGGGGAGCGATCCTAGGCAACACTAAACGAAATGTTGACTCATAGAATGGTGGGTGCAAGAGCCACCATCAACTCAATGTAAACCGAGGAACGAAGCAACATAGGTATAACTTGGTGAAGTGCAAGCTCTACCAATGAATCCCATGGGTACTTAGCATACGATGGTTGTGTATCACTGAGGAGAATTCCGAGTGCAAGTACCAATGAGTCCCATGGGAGAGACTTTCTCATACAGAAATATGATCAGAACGTTTGGATAGTTAGATTGCTCCAAAACTCATATTCGCTTGAAAATGCCTAACAAGCTAAAGGATAAGGCTGAATGAACGAACGTTGCTACCAAGGATGCAAAGGAGAACAAAAATTAACATGGGTCCTACAACATGATGGCGAAGGCCATACATGAGAGTTGTAGTCTATTTTTTCATCGACCAAGGGAGTTGTATTTTTTTTTTTTAGAACACAAAGATATTAAAGTAAATGGTTAAAAAGGGCGAGGAAGCGATGACCTCCCAAAAGGATTTAACTATCCAAAACCAAGTGTCGATTACGATGAAAGTAGACTCAAAAGATCTACTAATCACGAAGAAAGAGATGCAAATGTGAGGTGACGGATAGTAGGGTCATGAGCATAATAACACCATGGTATAACAAATGTGAAACTTTTATGGAGTCATCAATCCCTTACTTTCATAAAGGAAGAGCGGATAATTATAAAAAAGGTCGAAGAGGTAAAGAATGCAAAAGTAAACTTAAAGTATGAAACAAGATTGAAGAGTATAGGTAAAAAACTTTGTAATATCGATGTCGACTAACTTCTCATCAAGATAGCCGAAAGTGAGGTTCGGGTTAATACAGAATAAAATAAGTAACACAGTACTATACCTATTTCACTTAGGGTAAAATTTTACTATTTTCGAGCTAAACTTCTTGCACTCAGAAATTCAATAGTAATAAGAAGATGAATTACGATAGCTAACTCAACACAAAGAGTGCAAATATTTTGAATGCTTTAGAAGTATGAACAAAGAATAAGTTAAATATAGTAACCACCTTGATGTATAAGATACAACCTCGAGAAGACGAAAGATGTCAAATAATCTCTTCCTTCTCTACTCTTCAAAAAACGAGTGAAACTGAATATCTCATTTTTCTTATTTATCTAGTAAAGAAGCTCTATACATATTCAAAAAACCTTTTGAAAAAAATTCATGAAAGATAATTTTTGTTAAATCATCACTAATGATAATCAATTCTATTGAGAGTAGATTGTCAATTTTATTTTTCAATAAAATATCAATCGAAAACCAAAGTGATATAAAACATATTTGGAATCGATAATTAAGTAAAAAAAAATCGATGAACAAATTTCACGAAAGAAAAACCTTAAAAAAAAACTTCAAAACCTACCAGACAATGCTCGTTAAAACTCCAACAAATATCCATCCAATTTAAGCGACATGAGATATTTAAAAGGCTAACTCACAATATGAAAAGTGTTTTCTTTCATCTGAAAATCCATAGAAACTAACAAAAATCAACACAACTCGATCGACACCACACTATCAGATTCATTAGCGAGTTGAAACAATATTAATGAATCAAAATTTAATTACTCAATAATAACAATAAAGAGCAACCGAAAGTCAAGAGACAGAAGATTAAAGATTTAGCAAAAATAAAGAGACATAACATCCATAAAATTCACGACAAGAACACCAAAAGAATAAATGAGAAAGTTTATCATAGATAAGAGTACCTACAAATCTTTTTAATTTAATCTGCAACCTTCTCATCTTTTTTCTCATTAGCTATACTATTGCCATAGTCTAAAGAATTCCTGACAACCATCATTCACCAATTTCTTGAATTAAACAGTAACATTGATTTGGAGCTTAACACCTGCTTCTCTTGCAAATTCAAATGCTATAAAAGCAACAATATCATCTGACCCAGAAAATAAGGCATAGAATTTGGCTAAATACCAATAACATGTTGATCAAGATTCTTGATAACTCAAGTGTCCGAATACAAGGTCCCGCCAGATGTAAATAAGCACGAAAAAGAACACAGTACCAGTCGTCACTAGCCAATAAATTTGGACCTTAATGCTAGAGACAAGTTATATCTGTCTTCAGCAAATAATGCATACAAAAAAATAATGCAAAGGTGCAAGTACATGTATGAAATCCATCACAGATCACCAATCCAGACCATCCAGTTTGCTGGCATGTTGTAAAAGAATATTGTACATATTTTTGTTGATCTTCCATGTAGCCGACTGACTGATGGATATCCCATTGAAGAAAATTATTTAAGT